AAACGGCAGCCTCAGCAGCAAGACATTCCTTACCTACACTAGTAGAATACCCTAACGGGCATATTAACGACAGTGGGACTCTTAGAATTACAGAGTGATGCCTCTTAGTCGCCTGTGCGATGCATAAACTAATCGTTTAATCATGAAGATCCACATTATCACGATGAAATAAAAACATCTCTTCATCCGAGCAGTCCATGACGCAAAAACGACCTATTATTATGAAGAATTTGCAATGAATGAACTATTCGATTCGATCCGTGAGAGATGGACGCACTAGGAATAAATGCGACTCGCTTCGATTCGCATTTATTCCTAGTGCGGTTGTTTTACACCTCATGGTGTAAAACAACCGAGGTGCTCGCACTGCGCGCCGAATTACAGATCTCGGTACAATATAATTTATTGATGATATAACTACAGTCAAACCTATTATTACACAACTCATGCAGCATTTTGATTCTTTATTGAGGATAGATGTAGATGTCTATGGGTAACAGCAACCACTTACCAACAGGTGGACTATGTGCTCGTTTGTCACCCTATCCTATAAAAAAACCATATGTGTCGCTTATCTTCAAACGAAGGTAATCCACTGAAAGTGATTCTGAGTTATCTTAGAAAATTAGATTCTGTCCAAAATACATAGTTTCATAATGAAAGTAATGTTCTATCATAGATGATGGGCAGTAAATAGTCAAATTAAACATTAAAAATAATAATACGTAGTATAAAATATACAAATGCGTTTTTAGTTTGGATTTTTCTACGTTTGATGTAACATGACTAGATGTACTCGTTATTGAACTAACAAGGCATGGATTTACTTAGGTATATATGATAAAATTTAACTCGATTTACCAAGATTTGATAAAGACTACTCCTCGATACTCACATACAAGGGTTGTCGCCAAAGCAACTAATGATTTTATAAATACGAGGTTTGCTGAAATAAAATAAAATTTAACCTTCTATAACAAATTTATTATTTAAAAAAAAAAACAAGAAAAGGGGAGTTTTACTTGGACAAAACTCTATAAATCTTCGACATCATCTTCATCCCCAGACACTTCCGAAGGACGACCAACAACATTTCTGGTAAGCATTTTTTTTGTAATAGCGGCCATTTTTCCCCAAATGTGTTCAGAGTAATTTACCGACATTAACCAACTTGGCCTCTTGAACTGGAACACCCATTATTGGGACTGTATCTGGGTTGAATGTTACAAAGCTTTGACTACGTTTCGTAATTGACTTGTCTACTCCCGTATCAGAGTAATAAGAGATTTCACCTCTGATTTTCACTTGGTTTCTTCCAGTAGTGATAATAAACCTTTTGAGTTTGGAAATCTGAAGATGCAAACTTTGAGTCTACTTCAATATATTTCTACACTGGGTTTTATAATCGAGAATGGGAACTTCTGTCCCTAGACGATAGACAGTTGCGTGTTCTTCTACGATTTCAATGTATTCCTGCGGATTAAGGATTATTTCCTTCTTATTTGCTTTTCTGTTAGGGCAAATACCCTGTCTCATGGAAGAAATGAGTGTCCCGTTACTGGGAAAATTCTTTCCATGTGTTTTATTGCATTTGTGGACAATTACAGCCAATGCATGATGGTTATTTAGTCCCGCACACCCACCATTTACCGTATAGATGTAAAATTAGTTAGATCCAGATTATTCAAACAATGAATAACAGCTGAACAAGTCTCGTTAAAGTATTTATGAGCAGATTCTTCAGTCCAGGTGTACGCAAACACGTTATCTTTGCAAAGAGGATTACGTGAGGAACCTCTTACAACAGTGCAATTATAAAAATACAACTGTTGAGAATAGTAAGTGGATTGATCGGGTATCTTAGGAAATGATAAATTTTTTTGGCAGTCAAAAGAGGCGCATTTCATGGTTTTCTTCTTTTTTAAGAAGTTTAAAGAAGACTTTTAAAGAAGTTTCTTTATAAAGAAAGCTTTCGTGCGAAGCTTGTGAATGCGAAGTTCTGTCATAAGTTTAACTTTTTCCGATGCGTTGTTTTCTACATTTATTCTCTGAGTTAACTGTAGACACGTCGAACATACGTCTTGTCTGGGGCTGCCAAATCCAATATTCAATTTTGTAACAAAAATATTGCGAAAGAAACTGAAACTAACTCCTAACCCCGGAACTGCTTGTTCCATGTACATTTTTCCATATTTTTTTAATACTTAGCTCTGGGTGTTGGTATTGACGCTCTTTAACCTTTTCGCGTGCATAGTGGTTTTCCAAATGTTGCAAAGTCTTAATGTACTTAACGACGGCCTCTCTAAGAGAGTGGAATTCGAATAAGTTTTTATCACCACCACGATTTTCAACTGCCATAGTACCAGTTTGAAAATGACGATGGAAAACACCCTCAACTCTGCTTTTCTTTAAATTTAATATGCCTAAAAAGGACTTTTCGCATACTGGAATCAATTTTTGCGAATGAAGTACTTAGTGCACATTATTCTTCCTGGTTTGCCTCCAGTTACGGGGCGTAGTCTTTGTATTTTTGTGTTAGTTAACATAATTTGAATTGAGCGTTCTACATTGGTAAGTTTTAGTTTTGTGTTCACATGTCGGATTTTTCGGTGGCTGGTATTAAAATACCTAAAAGATATGTGGTAAATAACAAAAATATGTATAAAAACAATGATTTTCATTATTTTTTACGTAAGTGTTGCATTCAAAATGCTATTATTTTGAAATACAGTTGATAGAGCCCCTTCCGTAACGATTTTAGTAGCACGGTCACCAAAGCGAAACAACCACGTAAATTAATCATACATAGCATTTATAAACACTTTTAACTTTAGAAGGCAACATTTAGAATGAAATCTAATGCCAAACTATATCACTATATTTGATTTTATACTAAATATTATAATACCTATGTTCAAAGGCTGATGATGATGGCGATTTTTATGTTATGAGAACTATCGATAGACAAGAGACATAATTGTAAACAAAATGTAAAACAAAACTTTGCCAAAACTGCTCTACAGTTAGTAGATAATAAAAATTAGTGCAGAAAAACTAGCGTAAAATGCAGATATAACAATAATATTCGATTTTAAATTTTCTAATTACCATAAACATGATTGATCATCATTATAAAGTAGAAAAATATTTCACGACATCTTTGTAAAAATTTTCATATAAATATTAATAATCACAGTGAATGTTACGTACTCTAGGGTCGCGGCAGACTTGTTATAATTTGTCAAAGAAAACATAATTACGATAGTTTTATTAGTACTGATTTGGTACAAGATAACTTTGGTAAGATTTAATTTTTATTTTTCTTCAATGAAAACATTGTTTTTGTAAAGTTAATTAGTTAAAAGTATATTGTTTGATTTATCTTGTGTTTATTTTTATGATTATTTGTTTAAAAAAATTGAATTAAAATTTTAAAGACAATTAAACATTTAATAAGTCCAGTAAAATATTTTATAAAGGATATATTGTGCTTGTTTAATACACATAGCGTTTGTGGCTTATATCACCAGCAGGTAACATACAAGTCATCACCTATCTGTGTTATGTGTCTTATGAAAATCTGCATAATATGAATGGTTTTGCATTCCAACAAAACTTGTATTGTGCTTTGAATAAGACATACAGCACAGCAACAAGGTGGTGAACTCTTACTGAAGACACTATGAAGTAAGCAAAAAACAACGTCAACTTCGGATGTCGCAGACAGCGCCCTCTGGTGATATCACGGAGAAAAGTAGGATCCAGTGTTGCCCGGTATGTCTTAAAGATACCTATTCACGTACAGATTCTTTAATTCAGAAACTATACAAAGGTGGCTGGCGCTGGAGGCACTACAGGTGTATTTTTTATAAATGTATTTTATTAATAAAAAAATATTTTAAAATTTTATGATTTAATGAGATTGTTGTTTCAAATAATAACAAAGATATATACTAAATAGAAATGGCAGGTGTAATTCACAATAAATCTTAAAGAGTAACGAGTAATTTTATATTATTTTACAAATAATTTAAATTATTTTTAGAGAATAGGCATTGAGCAACGTTTTTTTTAATTACCAGAATAATTTTCTTAATTAATTTTCTTGCGCGTTTAAATCTACTCAACCAATAAACATGTCAATATTAACGTCTTTGGTACATTGTACGTACATACGTACGTGTACGTTAAGACATTTTTTATCATTTTTTAGTGTCAGATAATGATATTCCTAAACATACTGGAATTTATACATTTAAACACTAATTTCAAAATATTAAAATCTTTAAATACCTACACCAAAAACTATAGTAACATATATATACAATAACTATACTTTGGGTTTATAATTTGTACCATGAGACTTATTTAGTTAGGATTTAGAATGCTCTACTTTTCATTATTAGGTAGTAGGTATATTCGTAAAAATTGGTCGTACATTGTGTAATTGAAAGTGTAGTCATAACAATAATTTTTATGTTTTTAATTAACAAGATGTTTAATCAACAAAGCAAACAATAAATCAATTTTCTTGTAAATAAATTAGAGTTAACCATCTATTTTGGTCAGAATATTTTCTATTTCGTTTATCCACCGTTAAAGCACGTAACTTGGACAGTGCGTACTTGGAACTTGTCTTGTATGACATAATATATCGTTATATTTTCATGTTTATAAATAATGTTGTAATTATTTGCAATTATATATAAGGTTGGTAACTAATATAATAATATAACAGGAAATATAAAAATAGTTTTTTTAGTTATACAGATTGTATAACGAAAAAACTAATATATACAAGTCGCGGCACGTAAGACTAGCGTTGAATGAAACGTGGAGGGGATAGCTGGGCATGGGTACCGTCGCAATAACGGTCACCGCTAGACTTATGTGCCGCTACTTATATAACATATGTACAATACAAAATATGTGAACATATGTATATACTTGTCAGTACAATCAACCTCTTCATACTAGTATATAGTATATTATAACAACACCTATAATCTAAATGGTCTTCCCCTTTCTATCCCTATAATTCTTTTGCGGCTATCGCTCCCTGAGGCCGCTTGTATCTTTCCTCTACCTCTTCCCAATACTTCTAAGTCCGCATTGTTATGTGATCCTGCTACAAATGTGTCTTCAGTTGTCTTAGTGAATGTCCTTGCGCGATGCATTGCATTACAAGCAGTGTAATAATGAGACGAAAGGTTGATATCGCGTGTGGGGTATTCGTCGTAGTTGCTGAAATCTGTCGCAGCGCGTGGAGTTATCACAGGGCGATCTGTTGTTCGGTCCGTCAATGATAGGAATGAGCGTATGCGCTGGAACAATATAAACTGCGGTTGGAAAATGATTCCTAGTGAGGTATTAGTTTTTTTTTTTCAAATTAAATCACAACCTTAGAATTTTTGAAAAATAGCGAATCCGTTGGGCAGCGGAACTTACAAATTCGTTGATTACTATAATGTATTAGATATTATTTTAAAAAACGGCAAAGAAGCAGAACGGAAGGTAAAGTAGATCTAGATCGTGCAGGGCGTTGAAAGAAAGGCAGAGTTTTATAGACATTTCTTCTTCGGTCAGTAGAATGTCATTTTGATAAGGTAGTAGATTCGAAAAAAGTGATATTTGACAAATTAAACTTTATTTGTATAAGTCGTATCGAAAAAATAAATATTTATTTTGCAATGTACGCCCAAATTTGCAGAGAAGGTTCAGAATAAGTAATATAGGCAAAAGATGAAGAAATACTAATTAAAAAATCTCAAACATTCTCTCTTTTTAATATTTTAAATCCAGACGTGGTAATGCATTATTTTAACTGATTGTCATTATTAAATATCTAACGCCTACTATTTTACTACGCACGCACACATTTGTTAGGGCTGCTCGGTCGGCACAAAGTGAACTGAATCGCACACAGAGGAGCACGCGTACGCGTAGTAGTTGCCTATAAATCACATTATGTAAAAAAAGTAGAATCTTTATTTACTCGTATTTTCAAAAACTGCAATAAAGGTATATCATTATTTATATATTAGAACTAAAGTATAACATTTAGCTACTCCTTGAAAAATAAACCTGCATATCATTTGGTTTTGAAACATCTCAAAAATAAAAATATTTTAACTATTTTTAGGATTTATTTTAATTAAAAAAAAATTATGTATGTTACATAATTTTCATCAACACGCATTGGGCCAGCACGAAAGATACTTCCTTGCCCTCAAATCAACTCAGAAATGAGAGGAGGCCTGTGACCAGTAGCGGGACGTATTATAGACTGTATGGCTACTGCTGACTGTATATATGACTGGTGTAAACAGTCCACCTGATGATGGATGGAACTTCAAACAAAAGCAATCACAAACACTTTACCACCCCTGAGGACTCGAAAAGCAAAGTAGGTACTCTATAATTGTACTGGTTCTCTTACCCTTCAAAGTGGAAAACAGCAAAGGGCAGCAATGTAGCTTGGCGGCAAAAAGATATGAATTGGTATAAAGCGGGATGAAGATAATCAATCTAACATACAGACCTGATGGTAAGTGATTACTTTAGTCCATGGACAACTGCGGTTAACTTCAAACAAAAAAGGCTGCAGATGCGTTATAACCTCTTAGGACTAAAATGGAACGCCTCACAGCCTCTAAATATTCTGGCTCTCTGTACCTTTCAAACCAGAAAACAGCAGTAGTTTACTTACCTAGAAAACCTAGAATGGTGTCTTCTTCCCTCTCTGCCCTCGCAGCCGTGACACAGTCGTTAAAGAAGAGGGCCCTACTTGATGTTTTAGACACAATGTAGAACGTAAATCTTTTACCTTCCGTTTACTCTCCTCTCGTAGCAGACGCCGCAAAACTCGAGCGTGAGACTGTACCGCTACCCTCAGTTGTGCTGACGACAAACGCGTCAGCAAATTCTCGTCTAGTTCGACATCACTTAAAACTGTTGAATTAAACTTCATTGCATACGTATTTCAGCGTCAAGAAACATCACCTCATTATATTAGGTCCTGTCCCTGCCTACATATTATATAGAGTAGGTACCTTTATAAAATTTGCAACCTACTCATAATCATGTTTTTTTTATAGAATTAGGATGACAAATGAGCACACAGTTCACCTGATGGTAAGTGGTTGCTGTGACCCATAGACATCTACATCTATCATCGATTACGAATGAAAATGCAGATGCGTTGTCACCCGTGAGGACTAAGATGGAATACCTCTTTTCCAGTAAAAAAGGGTCTCCGGTTCTCTACACTTACAATACAAAACACAGCAGCGTTATGCTGCTATTTTACGCTGGAATCCTGTGTTTTTATGCTATTTATAGAATATAAGAGCACATAGTCCATCTGATAGTAAATGGATGTTGTGGTCCATAGATACCTTCATCGTTTCTCAATTAAAAATCAATATATAGATGAGTTGTTACCTCGAAGGACTAAGGCCTTAAGGACCATATCGTCGGCAATTCGAAGGTGAGTGATGTATTCGGCATTGATATTAATACCGTATCCTTTCCAGTCCAGTCGTTTGAACATGTCTTCCAATGCAGCGGTGAAGAGTTTCGGGGATATAACGTCACCATGTCTTACACCTCTCTGCACTCTTTCGTACATTGATTCTGTACTCGGACAGCTATGGTAGTCCTACTGTATAAACACTTCAGAACTTCGATATACCAACAGTCCACTTGGCACCGCTGAAGGGACTGCAGCACCGCCCAAATTTCGACGGAATCAAAGGCTTTCTCATAGTCCACATACGCAAGGCAAATTTGCAGATTGTACTATATGTAGTCTATGATAGTAAAGCCTCTTCGGAAAGCCTCGTTACCAATTAGTACGTAATACATTAAAAAAGGTTCTCTAGTTCTCTACACCTCACCTTACGAAACAGCAGCACTAAGCTGCTATTTACGATCGTATTAAGATTAAGAAGAAAAAAAGTTTCTTGAGTGGCAGCCTCGTACCGGTAGGCGAAGTGTAGGGCGACCCCCCTCCCCCCCACTGGGCTGTAATGATGATGAAGTAAGATGAGAGCATGGAGCTTCTCCAACCGAGCCGACCTATGAAACTTTGACGTTTAAGGTCTGCTACTTTAATTTCTACAATTCTTAAAGAAAAGAAAATTATTAAGTGCAGTAACAATTAATAAATAATAAACCAGTATTTATTATTGTTGCTACAATAACCAATACGAAATACTCTACAAAGTTCCAATACAAGAAAGGCAGGCTGATACAATGTATATTTTGACTATAATTTATTATACTCCGCCGTGTGATAGCGACGAAAGAGAATCCACTAGCCCTTACGGTAACGTACCGTGGGTATCGTCAGAGACAGAATCTAAACTAAAACACGGGTATCCGCGTCCTGACAACAACTCAAAATAATTAAAAAAAACTACGGTTGCTAGCCCGCTTACAAACCGCGGCAAATATGACAAATATTCCCTTTATGAGTCAATCTATGGAGATGCCTATGTTCAACAGTGAACTTTGATAGGCTGTGATGGATGGATACATGATTCACAAGACGTTATATCACCATCTATCTGGGGCCACGAGTTTTTTTTTCTAGACTCCATAATAACCGCTTAAGACACACCTACAGGACGAATTTTTTTTTCATAGGATAGGGTGACAAACGAGCACACAGTCCACCTAATGGTAAGTGATTGCTGTGAGCCATAGACATCTACATAAAGAATCAAAATGAAGATGCGTCCTCACCCGTGAGGACTAAGATGGAATGCCTCTTTTCCAGTAAAATCGGTCTCCGGTTCTCTACACTCACCATACAAAACAAAGCAGTGTCAAGCTGCTATTTTACGCTGGTATTCTGTGAGAGCGTGGTCCTTCCCCGGTCGAGCCAACCCATTTGTGCTACAACTATACAACTAATATAGCTGCAACATGGTTCTATCACGAATAAAGTTATGGCTCTCTTTACGCCAAACTAAAAATACGCAGACCACCGGTAAATTAAGAAATCGGTTTAGTAATGCGAATGAGATTAGCCAATCCGACAACAAAAATGTTGGCATATATGGCAAATCCTTCCAATTTGATAGTCTCACGTTCACTTGTTTGACTATGACAATACTAACCATTTGGCAAACTTAACTCAACTTCCGAGGAGTGTGGGGCAAGGTCAGCACCACGCATAAACTCACTCCAACTGTCAGTTGATAGTTCGCTCTTAGCGTCCCACTCGTCCTCAGTGTAATAATAAGCCTATAAACAAAGTTAACCTCGTTCTTTACTCTGCAACGTGTTTTGAGGAACCTGGGTCAGGGGTTAGCCACATTCAGATGTGTTGTCACTGTGCCAGTGTATTGACTTTATATCCTAAAGTAAATTCATGCTGGCCGTATGACCAACCTTAAGGTCTCTCAGTGAACTTCTCTAAGTATGTAAGTTCACTGAGCGATATTAAGCTTTCTATTACGTAATGATGATGATGACGTATGAGGAAGCTCAAGGTCGCTCAGCAAATTCACATAGAGTTGCTTGAAGTTTCTCTGTGTGATAGAATCCGTCAAGAAGATATCCGCAGTAGAACCGCAGTTGTTGAGTAAGCTGAGTTAGCTGGCAATGGACCAGTCGTGGCCAGTACGTGTAGCTCAGAGAATGTGGGCATCCACGACTTCGTCGAACGAAAAGACGACCTGCTAAAGACATAGGTGAAGTCGATAGACGCAGATAGCTCAGGGACGTGTTTTGTGGTATTCCTTGGGGAAAGCCTATGTTCAGCAATGGCCTATGAGAGGCTGTAGTGATGATATGAATTATACATTTGCCGGCTTTCAGGTTCCAGCTGTGTTGTAATTGTTTGTCTCTGGAACTAAAAATCAAAAGGATAATATCTTCATATAATGGAATTGGACTATTATCAACAAAAAAATCGTAGCAAAAGAATCCATCACTGTATCGTTTTATTGGTGCTGTAAGAAGCAACTAAGGTACGGGCCAGAAAGATCTTAAGAAGTTGACGACTCCGAGGCGCAGTGGCTTAGCAATGAGTTGCAGCGCAGCGCTAAGGGCCGCGGGTTCGAATCCCGCACGGAACAAGTATTTGGCCTACAAATACTTGTTTCGGGTCTGGATGTTTGTCCTTGTGAAATTTATGTATGTAAACTGCCCCCACGATACAGGAGAAAATCCTAGTGTGGAGGAAACTTTTTTTTAAATCTTAAGAAGTAAAGAAAGGTTAAGGTTGAGAAAGTCTAGCAGCCGAATAATGGCAGTTCTTCAGTTATCATCTTGTTCATGGCAATTCTATTCGAATAATATTGGTATGAAAGTTAGTTGCATGTTGCATCACATTTACGCGAGAATATTTCCGAAACTAGGCATTCCAAAACAGATTACAAAGATGTATAGGAAATCAATTTTTCCTACCAAACTTTAAGAATCAATGTCCGTATCACGTTCAAATGTGCGGGCGTAAGAATAATGAAGGCTTAAACCTATTAGTACAAGTAAGATTCAACTTTATATATTTTAGCATAAAGCCTTATCTCTTTTGGACCTACTGTTACCACGACACGAACGAAATATAAATGAACCGAACTGAACTAAAATGTTCTACCAGAGTTAATGAGAGTATGGAAGCTTCATACAAGCGACTCGCAACGCACGCACACAAGTGCCGGAGTTCACATACAATAGCAGTCATTTGCTTTTACAGCACTTTTATTTATTTTTGGAAATACATATAAGCGTGTGCCGGCGAATGATAAATTAATTATTCCAAGAACACGATATTGAAATCGAAATAATTAATACTCTGGAAAGCGCCTACAAAAAAAATCGACCTCGGTCTTAAGGACCTCTGCGAAGAAGCTTATCGAGTTTGGACAACGTAAAATTACCCACATTCGTAAATACCTACTCTTCCTATGTGTGTGTATGTGTCTGTGTGTGTGTGTGTGTGTGTGTGTGTGTGTGTGCGCGTGTGCGCGCGTGCGTGAGTGCGTGCGTGTGTGCGTGCGTGTGTGCGTGTGTGTGTGAGTGCGTGCGTGCGTGCGTGCGAGCGTGAGTGCGTGCGTAGTGTGTGTGTGTGTATGTATGTAGAAAAATATATCAATTTCTCATCCTAATTGGCATTTTACTTACCCCACACATGACAATACTTTCGTGATGTTCCTCCCTGACAATATTAGTTACGTGAGATATATTATATTTTATATATATATTTTACGGTAAGGTAATAGTGGCCTATTCATTATCCTATTTCGACGAGTAGATATCGTAAGCGTCAACTTTAGAAATGTTCGGCAGGTCTTGTGGTCTCTGACTGATGGTCATCTTGGATATTCTAAAAGACCCAGACGACGAGGCAATGGGAAGTAGTATCAAAGATGAGAGACTTCTGATAACGCCGATCGGCCTAGCAGTTGTGAAAAAAACGATTAGACCATTACAGGCTGTTTTTAATTTAGACTATTAAATTAAGATTATTAAATTGTCTTAGTTACATTTTCTTGTATTCTCCGGAGCTCTTCGCCGTCTGGCAACCACGAGCACTCCATTTTGGGTGGTATCGTTTCTTCGGCCGTGTAGAAGGCATTTGTCGCATTGTCACCGCAATTTAGCGCGTTCATAACAGGCCATTCTACCAAGCAAAACTCGTTCTACTCAATAAATACAAAAAACGGGAATTTATAAAACAATATTTATGTAAAGCTTTTACATATAACAACTTCATATTCTGGGTTAAACCGATTACATATTAGTATCTTGTGCCGTGTAGTGGCCATTGGCGGTTTAAGAGCTTCCACTACTCCATATCCTGAGGATGTCTTAAGAGGCGACGGGGTAAATAAAACAGGAGATGGACAGTAGTTTCCTATCAAGCGTGGCAACTATGGCAAATATCCCGAAAAGAAGCAATCTATAGGGAAGGCCTATGTTCAACAGTGGGCTTTCGATAGGCTGATGACGATGGTGATGTGATGATGATGATGATGATAATGATCTCATATAAGTAGTTAATATGAAAATAATATTAGAGTTTAAAAAACTGACACAACAGTAATACTAGTAATGAGTGGTTGGAGTCGGACTAGACATCGTCAAATAATAAATCAACATATATGGCTCTGTGTGATTTTACATGTCTTGTTTAAATAATACCGTGTAGCGGCGAAGGAAGAGAATCCTTCCACCGCGCGAGTGTTCTAAATGTCGACAAGCGATACGCCTAGGAGATGTGTGACCTAAAAGTCCAGTACCTAAACCTGCAATAGAAGCAGCGTAAAAAACACAAGTCGCTAATCGATCCGTTAAATGTGATGCTATCAAAAGCTAACTTTAAAAAAAATTTAAGTGATATATGAAGATGAACTCTGCAGTCCATCTGATGGTAAATGGCCACGGCAACTCATGGTCACCTGCAACTGACTTCAAATAAAGAAGCCTACAGATGCGATGTCACCTCTGAACACTAAGATGAAATGCTCACAGCCTGTTATAATACTGACTCCTATACAATGGGTCCTACGGTATAGAGTCAGTAGACTGTATATATGCTCAGACCAGAATGCAGCAGTGCACACACTGTTATTTGGCGGCAGATTTAAGTAAGAAAATAGTATGTAGTATGTAGATGGACTCCTTAGCAGAAAATGAATGCTCAAACATCCATCATCATCCTCAAGATATTATTCTTCACTATTATATTGGTACTGTATTGAAGGCTGAATTCGGATTACTTGAGCGCACGGAGTGCTTAGCCTACTACTACTGCCTGAACTACCCCGGCCATAAATAATCAATGATCAGTTACCTCTCGTCCAAAGCGGCTTCGTTTCAGGTAAAGGGGTCCAATTTTTATTTTTATCAAACCAACATTGAAGTTCACCTTTTTCAGAACAGCCATTTAAATTCGGGTGATCTTGTTCATTACCATAGTAATGTAAATTGTCTCCAGTCCAGATAAATTTGGGCTCAGTTTGCGGTGAATTTAGTTTAGGGTGAATATAATTTTGTGGATGGTCTGTAATTTCCGCACTTTGCCAGTTGTATAATTCATTCTGGTAGTTGTATGTTGATTGCTTGGGGCTGGTTGGTGTTGCAGGGTTAAATGGTTGATGATTGGAAGAAGTGTTTTCTTTGGGGAAAAAACAAATTAATATATATATATATATATATATATATATATATATATATATATTTATATATATATATATATATATATATATATATATATATATTTATATATATATATATATATATATATATATATATATATATATTTATATATATATATATATATATATATATATATATATATATATTTATATATATATATATATATATATATATATAAGCAGTGATGTTTAAAATAAATATAATATGGTGCAATCATAAAATTTTATTGTCATGTTGTGGTGAAGAAGCTCTTTAATTTGCTAGGTAAGCTTCTCACACTAGTAAATGAATAACACCCACAGAATCTGGGATAATGACTAATTATTGCTATTTAATGGTTTTTAGATAATCTTTTTGTAACCTTTTGTGAAGGGCTTTAAAATATATAATATGACAAAAAGCTTAAAAGTTATACCTCCATTCAGTTATCGTTATTACTCTTAGGGGAGATATTTGCCAAAGTTGCCACACTTCAGAGACGGGTTGAGAACTGCAATTTTTTGATATTACATGGAGTGCATTTTGTCAAGAAGATGCTGCTGACATCGCCTGTTTCAGTATCCCTCTGTCGCATCTTAACCCATGGGATGTTATGGGGTAGTGGATACTCTTATGCCGCCAGCACACAGCCAGCATGTTTTATGTGATTGAGTCACGCTCCTGCTATATTATAATTGTAGCATGAATTAGGTTAGCTTGACCAGGGAAGAACCACACTCTCACTGAATATCAGCCTAAAACTGCAGCTTAATGCTGTTATGTGTTGTATGGTGAGTGTTTTACACTCACCACTAAACTACTAGTTTATTCCTTATTTACATTCAAGAGGGTTTTTAGAACCAAAGACCCTTTTGAATGGAAATAAGGCATTCCATCTTAGTTCTCAGGGGTGACAACTCATCTACATTTTGATTCTTAATCAAGGATATCTGTAGCTGTCTATGAGTTACAGCCTTCACTTCAGAATCAGGTGGGCTGTGAGCTTCTTTGTCACCCTTATTCTATTAAAAAAAGTTCTGAAAATTCAATTTATAATGAAATAATTTAATATTATTGCAATAAATACTAAATAATGAATTTCACACCAACCAGAACCTGTGTCAATGAAAGCTTCATTGAGTTCACACACATTTGTTTGGGGTTGCACCACATCATAGGTTTTATTTAAAGGATATCTGAAGAAGAAGAAAACACTGTTTTTCATAAAATATTAATAAGTATGAAGAACTGGAGACCTTTTTTATTGAAAACAAGTCATTCTATCTTACTCCAGTCTCAATGGAGATTTGCCATATGTGCAGGACGGGATTACAGTTCACCAGTATGTGCAAGCACAGGTGCACTCTTCATTCCTTTTATAATATAGATAGTTATGTCAATATCTTTGAATTGACCTTTTACATTAAAAAAATATTAATATAGTATAAAAAACCAATCTAAATATAATTCTTTCGAAATCAATAAAATTATGAAACATTACTTCTCAGTACTTTTTTTTAAGTAACTAGATGCTTTTAAAATATCTCTCAGGATAATACTCAACTCTCAGGATTTCTTTAAAAAAAAAAGAAAAGTTAAAAAATGTACATGAAATAATTTATTATGAAGAAAATTTGCATTGGCTGATAGCACCAGATTTCAGTCTCATCCTAACAGCTTTTAAGTCAAAACAGTATTTTAGTGATTTGTTGAGATATAGTCAAAGTTCTTTTCTACTAACTTCAAACAGGAGGAGGTACTCAATTCAATTATATGTTTTTTTAATGTGTGTTTCCTCAAACTTTTTTCTAGGTAAACTTTTTTTATTTGAAAGCTGGTGCTTCACATGTGGTCCCATATAAATTGAATCAAGGTCAGACCAATAGTTTTGAGTTATTCTTAATAATTTATATTGAAGTTGGTTCTACAAAATTTTAATTTTAAATTATCTACATATTATGTTATTTTATATTTTCTACTAACTTTTTCTACCTAGGTAAGTTCCCCCTCTAGCTACCTCAGCCATTTCCACCACTAAGGAGCATTGCAGGCACTGCTGTTCCGGTCTTAAGGGTATACAGAGTGTAATTACATGCTGTAAAAGATTCCACCTTAGTCTTCAGAGGCAATAATGCATCTGTAGCCTACTTTGTTTGATGTTAGTTACAGGTAGGTGGGCTACAGTAGCCACTTATCATCAGGTGGACTGTAAGTTATTTTGTCACTTTTACGTGGTAGAGCCATGCTGCAACTATATTAGTAGTATAGTTGTAGCACGAATGGGTCGGCTCGACCGGGGATGGACCACACTCTCACAGAAAACCGCCGTAAAATAGCTGCTTAACGCTGCTGTTTTGTATGGTGAGTGTAGAGAACCGGAGACCCTTTTTACTGGCAAAGAGGCATTCCATCTTAGTCCTCACGGGTGACAATGCATCTGCATCTTGAGTCTTTATTGAGGATAGATGTAGATGTCTATGGGTCACAGTAACCACTTACCATAAGGTGGACTGTGTGCTCGTTTGTCACCCTATCCTATAAAAAAAACTTATGGGAACAAAATGCTGCTAAAAGTAAAATTTTCAATAAAATCGAAATACCAAACTAACACCCACATAGTAACGATGAGAAGCACTAACAGTGGGATAATGTTGACTGTGGTAATCAAACTGCCTTCCAGCTGTGTGAGTAAGGGCCATCAAGAAGAGAAGAGAAGATTTTATACATTAACTTACAGTGAAATGTAACCAAATTCTTACTTGATTTTTCCGCTCACATCACGTTTTTTATTTTTTGCGTTTGTACTAAGTTTCCAACTTTTTTGTTTTTTATAAAATTCCAAGCGATAAATTGCTATTAGGTCTGCTTTTGGATTTTTAAAATCTTCCATGATTTAGAGTGCACAGTAATTTTACATCAAGTTGATCATAATCAAGCCCGCCTAAGGGTATTAGTGTTCTGTGATCATAATATTAGGAAATAACTAATAATTTTACGTTTCCCTTCCTTATTTTTTTTTCTTCCGGTGACGAATTGATTTGATGACAGTTGGACGGTAGTTTTCATTTTCAGTTGTCACTTGCCAGTTGCCACCAAAGAATAAAAACATAATTGATTATGCATTAAAAGTACTCTGTTATGCATCGAGACGATTGCTAATTAATTAGTTAATTTACCTATTATCTATGATAAAATCATAATTTTGACTCAGTGATTTCACGTATCATGGCTCCACTACACGTTGGCCGAGCGCGCTTGGCGAGCGCACTCGGCAGATTTTCGCGGTGCCGTTCACACGTTGGTGTGTTTCATTCTGCGTTGGTAGCTAGATGATGATGGACGTTAGGGCAATCGCGGCCGCTGTCATATACTTATACAGCGCTTCACTCTTCTCAGAGTGAACGAAAAAAAACTACACATACAACAATAATCCCAGTTTGTCCTTTTTAGGGTTCCGACCTCAAAAGGAAAAAGAAACCTTTATAGGATCTACTAGCTGACCCGTGCCCGCTTCGCTGGGGGTTTTTTCAAAATAAATGATAGCCCAAAAGAAGCCCCTAAGCTACATTATCCCTGAGCAACATAAACGCAGAGATAATTTATAATAATATTTATCATTAGATAGGTACTCTGAAATCGCAACTAAACATGTATTATTTAATGCAGTTAGGCAAGTTACTTTGGTTTTATTTTTATGTTGCTCATGTTTGGGGTTCCATATAACTGATTCATTGTGAGAATCAATCAATGAACAATGAATCAATATTTCACTCCATAATTATTAAATCGTAATGTGTTGGTATGCATATAAGTAACATAAAAATATATTATATTGAATTATATATTTTTTCATAATATATAATATTTATTTATATATATACATGCATATATATATATATATATATATATGTGTGTGTGTGTGTGTGTGTGTATGTATATATTTGTATTGTATATGTATATTTATGTAAGTACACACTTTGACTACCTCTATTTCCTTCAACTATCCTTCAATAGGCCTGCTGGAAGAAATTTCATCGTGGAATAGGCAGTGCCTTTGTACATAATTATGTTTTTACCATTTTCCTATCGAAGTATGTGTGTACATAAACTGTTAAATAAATAAATAAATATTTCCTTATTAGTCCATGTCGCCATGTTGAAACAATTTTATTAAGCCGACACTACAGTCTACTCCGACGCGTAACTATGAACTGAACACTCGGCCAACGTGTGAACACTGTTTGCGGCTTGCGCCAAATTCCTTTGATTTGTGCACGGAAAACCGACACTATACGGCTCGTCGGCGAGCGTTGGCCGCAAACGCCAAATATATACAAAACGGCCCAGTACACGTTGGCCGAGCGCACTCGGCGAGCCCGCTCGGCCAACGTGTACTGGAGCCATCAAATATCGCAGGCAATACTTTTTCAACGACAATAATACAATAATAATTTACAACTACGTACATGTGCTGTTTGGTTAAAATTTTAGTTTAAAAACATTTATATGATTGTAAAAGTTTTAGAGGATTATATTTTTACTTATTTAATAAATTAGCCATAGTGCTTTCTGGAACTTTTCCGTAATGATTTCAAACAATTCATCATTGTTCGTTTTTATCAAATAGATATGCATATTAAAATTTAAAGAACTATGTAGGCATTAAAGACCATACTTATTTACTTACATTAAATCGTAACTAACGGTAACTTCGCATTAAAAGAAAATGATGAAGCCTAGCGATCAGAAGACGCATGTGAGTTTTGTCAAAACAAACAATGATATTTTTATAATATAATTGAAAACAAATAGTAAATCTCATTTGACGCCTCATTATAAATAATTACAAGGACATCAAACCTTATGGAATTGAACTTAAGGTCTATATTATGAAGCTAATCGTGCTCAATGCCAGTCAAAATATTATAGTGCTGCTATAATATTTTGACTAAAACTAGACGCGTACCGCGGCGAATATTTGCTACTCCTTGGTTATAAAAAGATACTCTGTGTTTGCTACTTCCTCTAGCGTTATTCTTTCACTGTTCTATCAATCAATACCCTATAAAATATTTTAGTCGGCTGTTCACTCTCCCCCAAAGGAGTGTTGTCACCACACCTTTGAGGGGAGTAATCACAGTTTATAAATATAATTACTACGTCTTGGGATTATTAGCAGAATATAGCGATTACCTAGTCAGGTCATAAGTTTTGTCACACAGTAAAAACTTTTCTTTTAGAATGCTGGCCACAAAAAAGTTTATTGAATTCGAATTTCGAATTGTTCATGAAAATAAAACTGTATACTTTTTAGAATTTTACTCATTTTTAAATATGGAGTGGACGCTTAAAGAAGACCGTGTTGCAGCTATTGCGTTGCATCGTTGCAAAATTTGAATTGGCGCGTAACCGCCAATTCAAATTTTTGACATACTGAAAAATTTGAATATAACCAAAAGATTCGTTTATCGTACCATCAAACGATACAATGAAGACTCTAGTGTACATGACAGGTCAATAAGTGGTCGCCCTCGGTCTGTTAGGATACCAGCAGTGATAAAAGCTGTGAAGGCGCGAATTCAAAGAAATCCCAAACGTAAGCAGAAACTGTTAGCCCTTCAGATGGGGTTAAGCAGAACCACGGTGAAAAGGGTATTAAATGAAGACTTAGGGCTTCGGGCATATCGAAGAAAAACAGGACATCGTCTGAATGCTCGTCTAATGGACCTGAGACTGAAGAGATGCCGCGCTTTGTTGAAGCGGTACGCGGGAAAAAAAATATCGGGAAATTATTTTTTCGGATGAAAAAATTTTTACCGTACAAGAGAGTCACAACAAACAAAATGATAAGGTGTACGCACACAGTAGTGAAGAAGCGAACAACCGTATTCCGCGTGTCCAACGAGGTCATTTTCCATCCTCGCTCATGGTATGGTTGGGAGTTTCTTATTGGGGCTTAACAGAGGTACATTTTTGTGAGAAAGGTGTAAAAACGAATGCAGTTGTGTATCAAAATACAGTCCTGACGAACCTTGTGGAACCTGTTTCTCATACCATTTTCAATAACAGGCACTGGGTATTCCAACAAGATTCGGCGCCAGCTCATAGAGCGAAGAGCACACAAGACTGGCTAACGGCGCGTAAAATCGACTTCATCCAGCACGAAGACTGGCCCTCCTCCAGTCCATATTTGAATCCGTTAGATTACAAGATATGGCAACACTTGGAGGAAAAGGCGTGCTCAAAGCCTCATCCCAATTTGGAGTCACTCAAGACATCCTTGATTAAGGCAGCCGCCGATATTGACATGGACCTCGTTCGTGCTGCGATAGACGACTGGCCGCGCAGATTGAAGGCCTGTATTCAAAATCACGGAGGTCATTTTGAATAAACTTTAGTGTCATAAGAATCTATGTTTTGTTAAATTCATTTTGGTATATAAATGGTTACATAATGAATAAACTTGTTTCAATTATTTTATATTAAACATGTGACAGAATTTATGACCTGACTAGGTATAATATGCCCTTTGATAATAGTGATATTTTTCTGTGCAAGGTTTAATTAGCAATCTATGAAACATACTACTAAAACATAATGGACTCGTTAGTAGTATCAAAGATATGGAGTGTAGAGAGAAGGAGGACCATCTCTATACTAAGAAAAGTGTCCCTAAAAACGTGTCCAATAAGGGTGGCGCTGCAGTAGCATAGGACAAATTTAAAAAAAAAGCGCCAAAAGTAATTAGAGTAAGATGGAAAATAAATAAGGACCGATCAATCCACTTGGTTTTGTACTACGTAAATAGTTGAGATTTTGTATATTGGCGTTTTACTACGAGTAACTAACGAAATTTTTGAAATATTTAAATTCAGCTGACTTCATTCCGTTCATAACAGCTATCTTCATATCGTAGTTTTTCAGACGCCAGCGCTATTGTGGTGGGTTTTGGAACCTCTATTTTCAGTAAATAGTAGGACACTTTTTCAACTTTCGCCCCTTATAAGATGGTTCTCCTTGTACTCTACACTCCATAATCAAAGAGTATAAAATCATTTTATGTGAATATAAATATTGTAAGGGATTTTAAACTGCATATTACTCTCTGAAGAGAATTTCAGTGATAGACTAATAGCACAGTTGTCTAATGTCTTTAAACTATGCTAATAGCATGCTAGCCGCTTTAGATACTGTTCTGAGGCTTGAATCTCAGGGTTGACAGTAAAATAGTTTTGATTCATTTTTTTATATAGGATAGGATGACAAACGAACACACAGACTATTTGATAGTAAGCGGTTGCTGTGGCCCATAGACATCTACATCAATCATCAATAAAGAATCAAAATGCAGATGCATTTTTACACGTGAGGACTAAAATGGAATGCCTCTTTTCTAGTAAAGTGTCTCCGGTTTTCTACACTCACCATACGAAACACAGCATTGTTAAGCTGCTATTCTGTGAGAGCGTGATCATGATACACGATCGAGACTGTTAAATAACGGGTTCCATGATAACTCGCATATTTTTAATTAGTTTCCCCATAAATAATCTTTTAAGACTACCCACGACATAGATATAGGCGTCTACGGGTCACAGCATCCACTTACATTAAATCTGACCTCAAAACAATATCCGGCACCAGCGGCAATGTATGAAGGACTTTTGGTCCCGGTACATTTTGACCAATGACGCAAATTCGGATCGAAATTAAATTATGATTAATAATAAGATTTATCTGCTTGTCAGCTCATGTGATTAAGCTATACTTCAATAACACCTCAATCTTAATCTAAAATTATTATTATATCCTAAAATCTATTTAAGAGTACTTTTTGGTATAATTTCAATATGAAAGACTTAACACGGGTCGACGTTGTATTATAATGTTCTTTGTAGCTTCAAATACCACACGGAACAAGTGCTTGTGTTTGTATCGGTAGCGAAGCCTTCATAGAAGCCGAGAAGGCGGGCTTGCCCTATCAAACTGCCCGATCAATAATAACACAATATTATTATGTAACGTCAACACTTGGCAGATTGCTTTACTGTGCGATACTGCTGTCATAAAAAAGGAGTTGAGTTGAACGAATAGTCGTCTCTCCGCACGCGTAGGCTTTTTACCGGGCTTTTGAGAAGATGATCTCCCTTTCTAACCTGTGGCAAAATGTTCTATAATGAAATATAACCACGATCGTTTATATAGCAATCAGTATGGAGCCATAAGCTGGGCTTTTGGTGTGAAGTTAGTCGAGCGCGGGCGATACGTTTGCAACTTCACATTTAAATGTTTATTCTGTGTGTTTACTTGATCGAATGAATATTGCGAGTTGAAAATGTATGTTTTATTAAAGATTTTTAGTGAAAATGGAGGATAATAGTGTTCCTTGTGACGAATTGAAGTGTGTTAAATTGCTAATCAGCCAGGAAAAGGTAAAATCTTTAAACTTTGTTCAGAAAAAACAGCTCATATACACATAAACAGTTATTGGTACAATTAAAACGTTCACCAACATTTTACGTGGAAGTAATCAAATCTTTCAAAGATAGACAATTCGATTTAGAATATGAATAATTTGTTTATTTAATTTTGTACGTAGTTTGTTTGTACTTTGTTCATCCTTTTCCTTTGTTCATGTATTGTAATGTATGTATCTTTTTCTTTCGCTCAAGCAAACCCAAACGGCTTTCTTCAAAGCCACCGAAGGTATGCAATTGCTGATATGTCATAAAACCTATCTAGCAGTAGTATTGCGTTCTGTGTGCTTCGTTAAACACGTCCTCGACAGCACTGAATGTGAAATTGAAGAGTGAAGACAGATCAAGATTGGTGTATTTTTATAAAACTCATAAAAACAACAATACCATATCTTGCGCTTGCCCTAGTTTGGAGGCCTAGCTTCGCCACTGGTTTGTATGGCCTGCAAATAATTGTTTCGGGTCTGGAAATCTCTGTGCAATTTATGTATGTAAAACGCTTTCACGATATGAGAGTATACTATTTGTGGGTTGTTTTAAAAAAATGCGAATGATTTTTTCAGAAAATATTTAATGCCTTATTATGGAAATCGACGGCAATTTAAGAAATAGTGACTCTGTCTTCTCTCTCTTCACTAAATGACAATAGAAAGGGACAGGTATAGAGATAATTGGATTTTTAATTTAAGAAAGCGATAATCAATGATAAGTAAGACCGTCAATTGTTATTATTCCAACATTTGCTCTTAAATACATCTTAAATGTTCTGGAAACAGCGAATTTGTGTGAATGAAGTTAAGGACTTATTTTAATAAATATATTTTTTCTTGTATTATTTGTTTTCTGGATTCACAATAAAACCACCATGTGACAAATAGTAATATTTACTAAAGAGAGAAAAATATAAATATTATGTACAGAAATTATAATATTTCATTTACTCGCATACACACTCACAATGGTAAAAAAATAAGTTCAAGTGTTAAATTCACATTACTCATATATTTTGAGTTCCTCCTGTATGATACATATTATATATGAAGTAACATTAAATAATTTTCTCCTAAAAATACTATGTATATTATAATATAAACATTTAGTTTGCACAGTAAGTACAACACTATAAAACAACCACAACTTCAAAAATGTCTTTCAACCTTAATCCTAAATACTTGATGGTGTTGCCATCTATTTTCCTATGTAAGGTAACAAGTAAATGTTTTGATTAGATGGAAACACTGTTAATATATTGTCAATTTAATGATCAGAACAAAATTGTTGACTTGAAATTTAAATAATTCAAATTAAGTTTTTCATTTATTTATCTTTGTTAACATAATTTTTAGTAAAAAAAAATTGTGACTTATTAATTATTTATTCCAACAACATATAATCTTAATTATTTAAAGGTAATCGTGTACGGAGTATTTGGCATTTTTGTACACATCCTTACAAGTACTGTGAATTCAACAATGATATTTCTCGTACATCTAGAAGAACTTTTTCGCTTGAGCTTCTTTTCTCTCTCTGCAAAAAAAGTATTATAAAATGTTTTATGTTTATACGCTGGATAAGAATAGGTATGCATTTGCTGACAACTGGAGATTTCATTCTATTGGAGAGGCCGATGTTTAGCAGTGGATTTTTACTTAAATTTGATTGATGACGATGAAGAAATAAATACTTTTTAAATGGACTCATTCAATAATCAAGTTGCATGTAATAATTTTATTACTTATTTTGCATAACTTCAATCAAGAAAAGTTAAGATTTCTAGCTATTCTATTATCCCATCCATCCATTACAGCCTATTAAAGTCCACTGCCGAACATAGGCCCCCCATAGATTATCTCACAGGGGGTGTTTTTCCAAAGTTGCCACGTTTGGCGGGCGGGTTGGCAAGCACAGTTTTACATTATTTTAAGCTGTTATCAGGAAGATGCTGCTGCCTATTTCCTGCTTGAGTCCCCTCTGTCACATCTTACGCTCCCACGGGACGATATGATGTTGTGGATATTTTTACACCGCTACTACATGGTCAATCAAACTTAAATATCATAACATTAATATAGTCATTAATACATACTTATATAATGTGTAGAGGAACATGACACCAAGTTGTGCAGTTACCACCATCAGAAGCATAGTTGTGCTAACACAAGAAATGTTTGGGCATGCTGCTTGAGCAGCAACTTGAGGGGTTGCCGTTAGCCTGTAAAGAAAATATTGTTACATTTTAACTATAGTATTTTTTAATTAAAAACTTTAAATTAACATAAATTAAGAACTTTAATTTCAAGAAGAAGAAAAGTGACAGGTGACAATTGTCCATATTTTGAAATATATCGTTTAAAATAACTATTTATTATAATATTATTTTATATATAATTATACATTTGATGCGAAAAAGGATGCTTTATACAGTGGTGTAAATTTCTATAAGCACAAATTTCACGAAAAAATTTTAGGAGTGATAAACGGACATTTTCGTGAACACCGCCGGATTTTGATGTTTGCCGAACCAAATCAGAAAGTGGCAGATTGTGTATTATCTCATATAAGGAAAGATTCCACGCCACGCAAGCCTTACAATTACAACCCTGACATCAATAAATCAGGTGAGCCTAGCAATATGACTACTCGAAAGCATAAACACGACAACGACTTCTCAGAGGCTCTCAATAATTTTACCTCAGAGATACGTAGAACTTTACATGACTGGAAAAAGGAAATTCAAGATGAAATATCAGGAATTAAAAATAATTTAGACTTCGTATTAAAAACCGATCTTGAGAAACTAAATGCATCCTTTGCTGAGATCATGTCGGAACTAAGCAGCGTCCGTCAGGAATATCACGAGATTAAAAAGTCGGTCATATCTCTTGACCTAAAGTACAACGAGACAATGAAGCAAATCACAGTTTTAGAAAACTCTGTACAATAATGATTTCTTATATTTACGCGAACACTACACATTTAAATAAAACTAATTTTACGGATTTTATCGCGTATATTAACTTATTTTACTTTCCCGACGTTTCAAGCACTTTACAGCACCCATGGTCACGGGGGGGACTGAGGTGTATGACGTCCCAATGTCATAGTTAACCACGGCTACCTCCAGATTAAAAATTATTAATTTTTGTTCCGATCTACGCAGTATGAACTTACAGTATCATGAAGTCTTGCAGTTGTATGCTTGGGTTGGGATTTTATTTTATTAATTATGGGATCCCAAGCAGATGGTAGCACCCAGCCATCTTCTCTATTGAAATTAGGATGTTTTTTGATTTCAATAGCCTCGCGAATCATCCTTGGAAGGAATCGGTGTTCTTTAGCGAGGATTTGTGGTCTATCAAATCTAATGTAGTGACGGGGGCGATCCTGTACGTGTTAACTCTGTACAATTCAATTGCGACCAATATGACCATGTTCAAAAGAAAATGGAATTATTATCTGTTAACAAAAAAGCAATCGAATCACTACAATCTAAAATGGACTTATTGACTAACGAAAACAGACTATTACAATTGGAAATTAACACAAATAATCAAAGAGATCGCCTTTTGAACTTAGAGATCGTCGGCGTTCCTGAAATCAAGGATGAGGACTTAACCAATTTAATTATATCCATTGCTAAACAGTCTAATGTAACTATTTCCCCTAATGATATATTAGAAGTTAATCGTGTCACACCGAAAATCAAACAACAGGGCCGCCCGAAAAATATAATTGCAAAGCTTAAATCCCGTCTTCTAAAGGACAACATAATCTCTGGCACTCGAAAAAACCGACTGACCACCAAAGACCTTGCCATACATGGCAGCGTTCGTCCCGTATATGTCAATGAGCATCTTACACAGTGCAATAAACTTCTACTAAAGAAATGTAGGGAGACGGCGAAACTTAAGCAGTATCAATATGTGTGGACAAAAAACGGGAGGATCTACGTCAGGAAGAACGACACATCTCCGGCTTTGCATATATCACAGGAAAGAGACGTTTTAAAATTAATTTAATCTTACATTGTATATTGTTTTGTTCTCTTTTCAAGTACGTTATATTGCTTAAATTTATCAATTCCATCGTTGTAAAAGCAATTCATTGGTCTCTCTTATCTCATTTTGTCTATATTATATATCATTGTTTGACCGCACGTAAAGGGAGCTCAATTAATGAAATATTTTTGGTCTTAAGTGTATTAGTCACACGCGCGATAATTGTGCAGCTAAGTTGCATCCATATTCTTCACGAACGTTACTCAACTATATATATATTATGGTTTCTTTTACTATATCCTTTATATTTAATAAAATACCAATTATATTTTTTCTGGCGTCTTGTATATTATGTATTAATTTATTTTACTTTGTCAATCTATGAATTCATCTTTTATATTGTTATTATTCATAATAATTACCCGTTCAATATTTATTTATTAAATCTAACAACAATACTTAAAACGTCTATATTGTTACATTCGCGATATTTATATATATATTTAATAACTGCTCTGCATATTTATAAGCTCGCACCCTTTTATGTTGACTCGACTATATTAATCAAATCGTTTAAGGATTCATTCTGTTATATCTTATTGATAAATTTTATACTCTACCACCTTATACGAAAAATCAAGTCACTATTAACTAGCAACTGCCGAAGTGATATATCATTGTTCGTACTACTTAAGTCTAACGTAAACAAATTATTAGTTCTGTTACTCTGTGTAGCTTTAAAGTACTATAAATTTAACACAATTGGGTACATATTTGATTTTGATTAATGGCTGTAAATAATTTGTACTGTTATTATCAGAATGTTCGTGGTCTTAGGACTAAATGTCTTGAATTACGACTAAATATTTTGACGAACGATTACGACATTATAATTATGACAGAATCATGGCTACACAGTGGAATTTTTGATAGTGAATTGTGCGACGATAGGTATGACGTGTTCAGGGCTGACAGAGATTTGCGTAATAGTGGTAAAAGTACTGGTGGTGGAGTATTAATACTGACACGACGTACACTCGGTGCCATGTATCGTGACCTCGGCGAATGCGGTCTTACTGAGCTATTGTGGATCACTATTCCTTCAAGCGCGTGCGCTTCAAATTCCAACTTACATATTTGTGTGGCATATATTGCCCCTGACCCTCATCAAATGCCATCGGATCTCGTTTTTATTAAACAAAAAATTAATAGTATTATCGAGCTTTCTCCAAATGATAATTTTGTAATATTAGGAGATTTCAACTTGCCGTTCATTTCTTGGAACCCAAACGGATATACAGCTTTGAAAAAAGGGCCTACTGAGGTACAAGAAGCGAGTATCCAGCTGATGGAAACACTAACATTTCACGGGTTAAGACAATTTAATACTTTAAAAAATCATGCTGGTAACACATTAGATCTTGCATTCTCTAATCTACCTCTGAATATCATCCCTGCGGCTGCGCCGCTACTCAGGGAGGACCACGCACATCCTTCTTTTTGCTTCATAGTTTTGGATTTAAACATTACTCCTCTACGGGAAACAGCTGCGCCGAGGCGAAATTTCAGGAGGGCTGATTATGAAAAAATTAATACATATCTTTTAGAACAGGACTGGAGGTCTCTTTTATGTACAGGCACTGTAGACGAAGCTACAAATACCTTTTATAACATACTGGATAGTTGTGTTCGTTTACATGTGCCTTTTAGTTATAACACAGGGAAGCGATCATATCCTAAATGGTACACACCTGCTTTAATAAAAATAATTAAGGAGAAAAACAATGCTCACACACGTTGGAAAAAATTCAGGAATAGATTAGATTACGATGAGTTTTCGTTACTCCGAGCAAGAGAACACCGTGTTCAGAGAGAATGCTTTAATAAATTTACGTCAAGTTGTGAAAATAGCATCAAAACACATCCTAAAACATTCTGGACTTTCGTCAAAGCCATTCGGGGTGGGTCAGGTTACCCTAAGAAAATGTCTTTGAAAGATATAGAGTACACCGATGGTATGGACATATGCAATGCTTTCAACTCATTCTTCAAGAGTGTATTTGGTATTCCTAGTAATAACTACATATATCCACATACGGAATCGTTGTGTACTGACACCGTTTCTAATGTACAGACAAACGCTGCAATAATTGAAAAAATGTTGAAAACTTTGGACACGAACAAAGGTGCCGGTAGTGATGGGTTACCTTCTTTTTTTTGGTCACGATGCGCTAAATCACTTGCTCTACCCTTGACTATTATATTTAATCGCTCTCTACGTGAAGGGATATTTCCGCATCAATGGAAGTGTGCACACATAATCCCTGTACACAAGAAGGGATCACGTACAGAAATAAATAATTATAGAGGCATTTCTATTTTGAACACCGCGGCTAAAATCCTTGAACGAGTAGTATATAACGTAATTTACTCCACGCTTTCACGTGCCTTCCCTGAGCAGCAACATGGTTTTTTACAAAGGCGATCCACCACTACGAACCTGGCAAGTTTTTCTTCTTTTGTCCTTGAAAATATGGATCAAGGTGGGCAGGTTGATGTGATCTACACTGATTTTGAAAAAGCTTTCGATCGTGTGGATCACATGATCCTGCTCAACAAATTACAAATATTAGGGATTCACGGTGACTTGCTCCGATGGACTGAATCATATCTCACAAACCGCTCACAAGCAGTCGTGATAGGTGGTTTCCGTTCGAACTACATAAACATACCTACAGGTGTTCCTCAGGGCTCTCACTTAGGTCCACTTTTTTACAATGCCTACCTATATGACATTGGTTCGTGCATTATACACACAAATTACCTCATGTATGCAGATGATAAGAAGATTTTTTGTAAAATTAACACCATACATGACTGCCTATTGATACAAAAAGACCTGGACCGTTTATTTGAATATTACAAAATAAATAATATAACTGTCAATTCAAGCAAGTGCGAATGTATTAGTTTTACACGGAAATCTAAGCCAATTCTAAATAAATATCACTTTGACGGATTAGAAATCAGCCGAAAAGTAAGTGTTAGGGATTTAGGCGTAATTTTTGATCATAAAATGATACTATCCGAACACATTGATTACGTTATCAATAAAGCCTATAAAAATCTTGGTTTTGTTCTTCGCATCTGTAAACCATTCTCGAATATTAATACAATTAAAATGGTTTATTTTGCATATGTCAGAAGTGTTTTGGAATATGCTAGTTCAATATGGTCTCCACAGTACAATGTCTACAAAAGCCGCCTTGAGCGTATTCAAAAAATATTTGTTAATCACCTTAACTTTCGCTGTCGGAATAAAATCGATACTTACACAGACAGTTGCACTGAGCACAATCTCTTATCTCTGGAACACAGGCGCATTTTGCTTGACATGGCTTTGTTATATGATATAATAAACAGTAATATTGACTGTCCATATCTTGTCTCAAGAATCACCTTTCGTACTCCAAAATTCCGTACCCGCAATACTACATTGTTACAGACTCCCTGGCATCATTCAAACTACTGTCGAAACACTGTTCTTTCGCGGCTTGCTCGTACATATAATGAACAATTTGGACACATTGACCTCTTTGCGAAATCTAAACTTACGTTTAAAGATTACATCAAGAAATCTATTACGAAATAGAGCAGTTGAAGTTAAAATCACATACAACCATATATTCTCTCATCTATTTCTTCTATATGTATTTTTGAGGCTACTAATATAAATATAAGTACTTAAGTTATTTTATTTAATATATATTATAATTAATTATTTGTATTATGTTTATATATTTAAACATTTAATATGTATATATACATAAGTAAATAATATATATGTATGTATATATATATCTTATATGTTTATATATATATATGTATATATATATATATATATTTATATATATATATAAAGGTAACGTAATATATCATTCTACCTGACTATCTCTCCTGATCTGTAAACTTATGACCACCTTCATTACATTGAATTGCTTATAATTTTGCTTATAATTTATCTATTAGATTGTTCTTTTTTCTTTTCTTCTAAAAACAATACACCTACCATCAAACAATATAAGGGAAACCTGTTATTGGCCATACTTTAAGTTTGTTACATTAATGTTAATATTTTCTATATACGCTGTTGGTTTTCTAAATAAATAAATAAATAAATAAATAAATAAACAAGTAAGGGTGACAAACAATCAAACAATCCACCTGATTATGTTTTTACGTGTCAGACACATTCTACAGCTGTAGTGTGGTTGTAGGACGAATGGGTCTGCTAAACTGGGGAAGGACCACACTCTCACAGAATACCAGCGTAAAATAGCAGCTTAACGCTGCTTTCGTAAGGTGAGTGTAGAGAACCGCAGACCCTTTTTACTAGAAAAGAGGCATTCCATCTTAGGCTGAGATCTATGTACCGTACTTTGACTTTGCTCAGATTTTACTTATGAAAAACTTAGGAGTATGTATATGCTTAGCATAATCTGTGATTCTGAATTTATAGTTGTATCGGCTAAGATTAAGCTAAGCTTATGCTAAGGCCCACAGTTAAAAATTAATGGATGCTTCATTCCATATATTACATTCTTGGTTTTACTGTATAAAATTCAAAATAATAACATTTAAAAATCTAAACCAGTCGAAATTGTATTTCATAAATAAGTTATTATTATATGAAATAGAAAATGAGTGTATTAGAACGAGAACGTATGAGAATAGTGCAAAGTCTGAATCATCTGAACAGCCCTTTCATTAATACTCTGACTGAGCCGGCGCAAACCGGTTTGTACCCTGACGGAGCGTCGGTGAACCTGTCGATGAGAGCTCACGCACACATCGCTGCGCTATGTATGTGTGTGTTCGTAGTGAGCCGTTTGTATGTAGCTTCCTCTCTGGTCGGTTTCTTTACTCATGTGGCTTTGCTAAGCGCGCAGTTAGAACCACTTCGACGTTAGCTCTATAAATATCGATATTGTTTTAGCTCGAAAATAAAGTCTGAGAGTACGGTCTACAGATCACAGCATCAGGGCTTATAACGCATCTGAATTTTGATTCTTAACTGATGATAGATGTAGTGGACTTTGAGTTACAGCATTTACTTCCCATTTAGTGGACTGTGTTCAATTTGTCACCCTTATGCTCATAGATGCATACATATTTTTTTTAAATTAACAATAAAAATACAGGTTTGCAATTTTTAACATAAACTCTCGCACACCTGTCCCCTACAGGGGTAGGCAGAGACTATGGACTTCCCTGTGGCACGATCTTGACACATCACACTTGCTTCTTACATATCCATATATATATGCCCGACGGTTAATTGTACTCATTATTTGACCCATCTTCAACTTATCACCAATTTGGTCGATAAATTTCCATCTAGGGCGTCCCCTTCCGACTTTGCTTTGTCACTCTTTCCTCAGTCATTCTATCTACGTGTCCAAACCATCTAAGCATTATGTTCTTAATCCTGATCACAACATCTTACAAGCCACACTTTTCTCTTATCATTCAATTTCCCACCCTATAGGTCAGAGTCACCCCTACCATATTTATTAATGACCACATTTCTACAGCGTTAATTCAATTTTAAAATTTTGTAAGTAAACTAGCTGACACACGCGACTTCGTCCGTGTTGCTCGATATATCAACAAAATGTTCGAGAAATCGTTGTTTCTTAAAACTTTAATATAACTTTATATTAAATGCAGATATCGCAATAATGTTCTAGTGTCTAAGAAATAAAACTTAGAAAACCTAATTGTAATCTATCCAGTAGTTTTTCCGTGATGCGCGCACAACTGCAAATCTCTACCATTTTATTTATATAGATTCATTGAACTCACTTTTAAAGCATCAATACCACATATTAAATGAATGCCACATCTAAAAATAGCATAGAAATTTTATATTTTTTAATATACTTGCAGAAATAGTGAGTGGGTGGGTGTTGGGCGGCAATTTTGCCTCTAGCAATCCCGGGCGGCAGCAACCCAAAGGTGTAGTTTCTATTCCCTCACTCTCATAGTCCAACGGGATGGCAATTTGACATGAGGGAATTATCGCCATCTCCTACATCCAGGTTGCTACTAAGAATTTCTCAACAAAAAAAATCCTTTACTAGGTTACTCCTTTTCTGCCTGGGTGTCGATCTGGGCAAGTACTACCATCTTGTCTATTTCTGTCGCCAACCAACAGTGCCTGCACTGCTGTATTCCAATCTGAAGGCTATAGAGAAGCCAATACCATTAAAGGTTGCGAGGTATTCCATCTTAGTACTCAGAGGTGACAACTTATGGATGCTCTTACATCGTCATCACACGTTACAATTCACTTGGTAACATGGAGTATAGAGTAGAAGGCGAACCATCTCATATGGGAGGAAAGTTGAAAAAGTGTCCAACTGTATACTGAAAATAGTGGTTCCAAAACCAACCACAATAGCAGTAGCGTCTGAAAAACTACGATATGAATATAGCTGTTGTAGACGGAGTGACGCAGCTGAACTCAAATATTTAAAAATTTTCTTGACTAGAGTAGTTAGTAAAATGCCAGTATACAAAACCAACTATTTATGTAGTACAAAACCAAGCGGATCGGTCGATCCTTGTTTATTTCTCCATCTTATTCTAATTACTTTTGGCGCTTTTTTTTTTTAAATTTATCCTATTCTACCGCAGCGCCACCCTTATTGGACGCGTTTTAAGGATACTTATTCATATACAGAGATGGTCCTCCTTCTACTCTATACTCCATGCTTGGTAAGAAATAATAAAAGAACATTTACCTCTGGGCAACTCCGGCTACAGTCTGCTTGACATGATTCACGCTGTCCCTTATGTCATTAAGGAACTGCGGGTTGACAGCTGCCCCGGCCGCCGCACCGCCACCGCCAGCAGCCAATAAGGAGTCCGACTTGCGGGACACATCGATGATGAAACCTCTGCAAACAAGGGATTTTTTTTTTAATTGAAAATCGAAAAAGTCAATTGCAGTCTGTTGTTTTGGGAATTAATACAATTTGGCCTATGACAATCCCTAATGATGGCAAACAACACGCACTAAAAAATAAAAATAAATAATGTAATCTCTACATAGTGTAAACTGTAAAACAAAGTCGCTTCCCGCCGTCTGTACGCATAGATCTTTTAAAATACGCAACGGATTTTGATGCGGTTTTCATCAAAAGACAGAATGATTGAAGAGAAAGTTTATATGTATAATACATGCATATTATATATTTTTTCTGTCCGTGTGTATGTGACAGAACTCCTAAACGACTAGACCGTTTTTGATGAAATTTTGTGTGTGTGATTACGAGTAAGTTAATTAGAAAATGGTTTAGATTCACAATTTGACCCGGTAGGTAAGTTGTCAAGATCCATAAATCAACCGTCTAAAGCCGGGGCGGATCGCTAGTTGTGTTATTTCAATAGCATGTTTTTTTACGTCGATTTGCTTAAAATTTAGCAACTTTTTAAAATCTCGCAACACTGTTGTCAGAAACTGTATCTATGAACATTTGCCGGTATTGTTACCCCACGTCTGCATATTGTCATGTAAGTATCCCCATTTAAAATTTTTGTGGGGTAATTTTTATTTATTGTCTAAAAGTATTACGATAATATGGACGCACTTCAGAGACACGTTAAATTTTGCGCAATAGATGATGCTGTCATCTATTAGAAGTTGGAACCCGTGAGATTTTTCTGGCATTTCTCATTACATTAAGGTTGTTAAAAATCAATTTGCTAAGATATACATTGTACATTGTATTATCGACGGTGGTGTGTCTTTCCTAGTGTAGTGGTGGTGCGAGTAGTGGTGACGGGGATAGTACACGCAATTAAGTGAGTGCGGGAAGTGCTAACTAGAATAGACTAGATAAGACACATCATTTTATTTTTACACGCGGATCTCAGCAAATTGATTTCTAACAAGCTTAGTATAATGGATTTCCGCAAAGTAGCTCCTGATTATATTAATTATTTTTCATCACAATAAAATTATTTCAACAAAATTAACATAATGTGTAAAAGTATTTTATCATAGTTGTACTCATCATTACAAAAGTCCACTACTGACGCCACACACTTGATAGGTCAATACCGTAAAACACGGTCCTGAGCCACCTGCAACCATTGACTTCGTGCGTCTCTCACCAGGTCATCACTCGATCAAGGGGAAGGCTGCACTACACGTCGCTTACCGGTACGAAACTGCCACTCGAGAACCTTTCTACGTCATTAGTTGTCGGTTCTTTGAGCTAAATAGCCTGTCATTTACCACTTCATCTTACAAAAGCAGTATTTGTAACAGTAAAAATGAAAAAAAAAACCTTTACAAATGTGTGATTAGTAAAGGTTATTTTTCTTATTTCAAAGATTAAGGTATGAACATACTTGAGCTCTGCAATTGTGTTGATCATAAGCTGATTATTGGCGACGAGGGTGTCCCAATCTTGGCGGCCGATCGGTAAAGCTGGCATCTATAAATGGGGAAAGAAAGTTATACATACAAAGATACCCTTAAAATTTTATTGTATTTTTAGTATATTTTCAAAAATATAAGAAGTATTTTAAAAGGTCGTGTTTTACTAAAAATACTTTGATTTGAATTAATAGCTACCTGCATAGGAGCTTGTCCCGGTTGGATGGGTTGTCCTTGCGACTGACTGTACACGGCTGTCAACATTGACAGTGAGTTCATCTGTTTGCCAATCACCTGAAAATATCGTTTTTTTTTTATAGAAAATAAGGGTGACAAACGAGTACACAGTCCACTAGATGGTAAGTGGATGCCGAGCCCCATAGACATTCACATCTCGATTAAGAAGCAAAATTGCGGCATACGTTGATACCCCTGAGACCTAAAATTGAATAAAATACTCTGCATATGAAACACAGCAGCAATAAACCTATATTTCACGCTGGTATTCTTTGAAAGCGTGGTCCTTCCCTAGTTTAGCCGACCCATTCTTGCTACAACCATAATGTAGCTGCAGCATGACTAAAAACATGAAAAAAGTTACAAGGAAAGTGTAGAAGTTTCAATTAGTGCTACATTTTATAATTTAGAACCGTAGTAGTTCAGGGGCGTTCTGAAAGTATTTCTACTTAAATAAAAAAGAAAGTGCCACATACCTCATCAACTTTTTTGTTGAGATCTCGCAGAATATCATGGATTTGACCTTGACCCTGGAAAATCTGTCGCAACTCGCGTTGACCGTCTGACTCAAACCAGTCATCAAATTCACCTTCCTTATCGCGCACCTTGGAATAAATGAGCATGAATCGTAATTAATAAATCGGTATGTATTTTTCTAAAAACTTTCAAAGAATAAAATAGTTTTTTTTTTTAAATAAAGATTACAAGTAATAATTATTGGAAGTGATTATTTTAATATATTTTTCTAAAACAGTTACCCCCACACTATGATTTTCTCCTGTATCGTGGATGCAGTTTACAAACACAAATTGCAGAAGGACAAACATCCAGACCCGGAACAATTATTTGAAGGCCATACAAATACTAGTTCCGTGCGGGAATCGAACCCGCGGCCCTATATTTTTCCAGTTGTTTCGGTATAAAGCCCATGTCCTGGGAAGAAGCAGTAAGAAACCCAGTCGGCCTTTTTACAAAAACTAATTTATTAATAACAATGTACTTTGTAACTTTGTTTGAAAAAGAAACTACACATTATTTACTGTCCATATTTAACATACTTCATCGGGATGTTCCTTTCTGTAGTCCACCTTCTGCTGTTCTAACTTCTTCTGGTACTCCTGATATTCCTGGGACAGTTTCTGCTGCTCATCATTGCTGATTTGCTGACCACCTGAAAACAGCAAATCAAAAGTCAATTTTGATATTAAATATAAGCTCATGATATTGATAGCTACACTTGACAGGTGGTTTCAAACAGCTTATCAAGGTTTTTAGTTTGAGCTTTTGCACAAACGGTTAGCGGCGGGGTAAGAGAATCCACTACCCCTATCATTCTGTGGGTTTCCTAAGAGGCAATAGAGGGTAAAACAGTAGATAGGCAACAGAGGGTAAAACAGTAGATAGGCAACAGAGGGTAAAACAGTAGATAGGCAACAGAGGGTAAAACAGTAGATAGGCAACAGAGAGTAAAACAGTAGATAGGCAACAGAGTAAACAGTAGATAGATAACAGAGGGTAAAACAGTAGATAGGCAACAGACGGTAAAGGAGTAGATAGGCAACAGAGGGTAAAACAGTAGATAGACAACAGAGGGTAAAACAGTAGATAGACAACAGAGGGTAAAACAGTAGATAGGCAACAGACGGTAAAGGAGTAGATAGGCAACAGAGGGTAAAACAGTAGATAGACAACAGAAGGTAAAACAGTAGATAGGCAACGGAGGGTAAAACAGGAGATAGGCAACAGAGGGTAAAACAGTAGATTGATAACAGAGGGTAAAACAGTAGATAGGCAACAGAGGGTAAACAGTAGATAGGCAACAGAGGGTAAAACAGTAGATAGGCAACAGAGTAAACAGTAGATAGATAACAGAGGGTAAAACAGTAGATAGGCAACAGACGGTAAAGTAGTAGATAGGCAACAGAGGGTAAAACAGTAGATAGGCAACAGAGGGTAAAAGAGTAGATAGGCAACAGAGGGTAAAACAGTAGATAGACAACAGAGGGTAAAACAGTAGATAGGCAACAGAGGGTAAAACAGTAGATAGACAACAGAGGGTAAAACAGGAGATAGGCAACAGAGGGTAAAACAGGAGATAGGCAACAGAGGGTAAATCAGTAGATAGGCAACAGAGGGTTAAACAGTAGATAGGCAACAGAGGGTAAAAGAGTAGATAGGCAACAGAGGGTAAAAGAGTAGATAGGCAACAGAGGGTAAAACAGTAGATAGGCAACAGAGGGTAAAACAGGAGATAGGCAACAGAGGGTAAAACAGTAGATAGGCAACAGAGGGTAAAACAGTAGATAGGCAACAGAGTAAACAGTAGATAGATAACAGAGGGTAAAACAGTAGATAGACAACAGAGGGTAAAACAGGAGATAGGCAACAGAGGGTAAAACAGGAGATAGGCAACAGAGGGTAAAACAGTAGATAGGCAACAGAGGGTTAAACAGTAGATAGGCAACAGAGGGTAAAACAGTAGATAGGCAACAGAGGGTAAAACAGTAGATAGACAACAGAGGGTAAAACAGGAGATAGGCAACAGAGGGTAAAACAGGAGATAGGCAACAGAGGGTAAATCAGTAGATAGGCAACAGAGGGTTAAACAGTAGATAGGCAACAGAGGGTAAAAGAGTAGATAGGCAACAGAGGGTAAAAGAGTAGATAGGCAACAGAGGGTAAAACAGTAGATAGGCAACAGAGGGTAAAACAGGAGATAGGCAACAGAGGGTAAAACAGTAGATAGGCAACAGAGGGTAAAACAGTAGATAGGCAACAGAGTAAACAGTAGATAGATAACAGAGGGTAAAACAGTAGATAGACAACAGAGGGTAAAACAGGAGATAGGCAACAGAGGGTAAAACAGGAGATAGGCAACAGAGGGTAAAACAGTAGATAGGCAACAGAGGGTTAAACAGTAGATAGGCAACAGAGGGTAAAAGAGTAGATAGGCAACAGAGGGTAAAACAGTAGATAGGCAACAGAGGGTAAAACAGGAGATAGGCAACAGAGGGTAAAACAGTAGATAGGCAACAGAGGGTAAAACAGTAGATAGGCAACAGAGTAAACAGTAGATAGATAACAGAGGGTAAAACAGTAGATAGGCAACAGAGGGTAAAACAGTAGATAGGCAACAGAGGGTAAAACAGTAGATAGGCAACAGAGGGTAAAACAGGAGATAGGCAACAGAGGGTAAAACAGTAGATAGGCAACAGAGTAAACAGTAGATAGATAACAGAGGGTAAAACAGTAGATAGGCAACAGACGGTAAAGGAGTAGATAGGCAACAGAGGGTAAAAGAGTAGATAGGCAACAGAGGGTAAAAGAGGAGATAGGCAACAGAGGGTAAAAGAGTAGATAGGCAACAGAGGGTAAAACAGTAGATAGGCAACAGAGGGTAAAACAGTAGATAGGCAACAGAGGGTTAAACAGTAGATAGGCAACAGAGGGTAAAAGAGTAGATAGGCAACAGAGGGTAAAACAGTAGATAGGTAACAGAGGGTAAAACAGTAGATAGGCAACAGAGTAAACAGTAGATAGATAACAGAGGGTAAAACAGTAGATAGGCAACAGAGGGTAAAACAGTAGATAGGCAACAGAGGGTAAAACAGTAGATAGGCAACAGAGGGTAAAACAGTAGATAGGCAACAGAGGGTAAAACAGTAGATAGGCAACAGAGGGTAAAACAGTAGATAGGCAACAGAGGGTAAAAGAGTAGATAGGCAACAGAGGGTAAAAGAGTAGATAGGCAACAGAGGGTAAAACAGTAGATAGGCAACAGAGGGTAAAACAGGAGATAGGCAACAGAGGGTAAAAGAGTAGATAGGCAACAGAGGGTAAAAGAGTAGATAGGCAACAGAGGGTAAAAGAGTAGATAGGCAACAGAGGGTAAAACAGTAGATAGGCAACAGAGTAAACAGTAGATAGATAACAGAGGGTAAAACAGTAGATAGGCAACAGACGGTAAAGGAGTAGATAGGCAACAGAGGGTAAAAGAGTAGATAGGCAACGGAGGGTAAAAGAGTAGATAGGCAACAGAGGGTAAAAGAGTAGATAGGCAACAGAGGGTAAAACAGTAGATAGGCAACAGAGGGTAAAACAGTAGATAGGCAACAGAGGTTAAAACAGGAGATAGGCAACAGAGGGTAAAACAGGGTTTTTGAAAGACCTATCCAACGATACCCCACATGATGGAATAGACGGGTAAAAAAAAATCATCCTCCATTTACTTGTATAGGAAGAACCCAAAATAAAAATGTCTTTTAAGATTTTATTTCACAGTTTTGTAGGCGTGATTAATATCTATAACTATGCCAAATTACAGATTTGTAGCACCTAGGGTCTCTCTCGGAGATGGTGAAACTATAAGGGTTGTTGTGTAGCTACGGAACCCTAATAAAAGAGACGGATTTGGATACAAAAACGTATCTTGCAAGACGAAAGACATTTTCATCGTGTAATTAATTTGACAACATGTCATTCAAAAACTTTACCGGAATGTCCCGAAGTGATTTTGAAATACTTTCAACTTTAGAAAGACTGGAGCTGGAACTTTAGAAAGGGAGAGACTACCGAGGTCTACTCCGGTAGTCTCTCCCTTTCTAACCCAACCACGCAGTAGCAAGACATAGAATATTGACTAAAATTTTCATGCGTTTTGGATATTTGGCTACGTTAAGCTATACAGAATATAGCAGCAATTAGAAGCAATACTGCCTGCTGCAATTTTAGGATATTGCTCCAAATTACTCCACTGCCTCCTACAACTGTTGCCGGACAATTATTTCTCAAAAAATTGCTCGTGTAACTTAAGCTTTTACTTACACAAATATGCAACAGGATATTATGTATTTATAGCTAACCTTGTTGTTGAGTGCTGTGTAGAGAGCTAGTGAGAAGATGTATGACATCGTGATCGTCAGCCAGGCCTCCTGTGGCGGCCGACAGACCGAAGTACCCGCCACGTGGTAGCGCTACATTCTCCGCGCGGAAACAAAGCTCGTAGTCTGCTTCGTTGGTTGTCATGCCTGCAAAAGAGGTTAATTACTACATTTTCATAACAAAAAGAGTGACAAGCATCTATAATTTTATACACTGGGTATGTAAAACGTCGCAAAGTCGCTGAACATTTTTTTTATTTATTCATTCACTATCGCCTATCAAAAGTTCAGCAGGCGAGTTGGCAACTCATTTTTTAATAGACTTAAAAAAGGAGGAGGTTCTCAATTCGAGTGTGTTTTTTTGTATGTATATTACGCGATACCTTCGCAGATTGTGAACCTATTTTGATGATTCTCTTTCAACCGACTTCAAAAGGAGGAAAGGTTAATAATTCGTCGGCATCTTTTACAATATATTATCTAAATCCCTATAATATTGGAGTTTATAAGGCATAAATAAAACAGTAAAGGGAAATTGAAGTTTATTTTATTAACCTATGTGAAATTAGTCACGCGATATGCGTCACTAAAGCGTAAAAATTATTTCACAACTCAACCTACTTAGCTTCGTATGTTGTAATTCAACTAGAAACTTATTAACTTAAAACAAGATTGTTAAAACTTGCGATTGTTCAATACATGTGCAGTTTTGAACAATTTTTATGTAAAAAGGATACCAAGTTACAGCCTAAATAACGTCCTACTAATGGGCACAGGCCCTTCTTATTTATTAGAGGCTTTCATAGTAAGGAAGTGTCCGCCTCGTTGCTCCAATACGCGTCGCCGAACTTCACATGTCTTAAAAATATTTTTTATTCGTGAGACATGTAGATTTACATTTTTTTTTTACATCGCCGAGCACGTGGTAAATTAGCATTTAAAATTGCAACTTTGGTGCCGACTGGGATCGAAACCGTAATGCTCGCGCACTGTAGAATGAACAGGTTTTTTTCTTTCTCACATTACATTTATGATATTAGAGTAACAAACGAGCTAACAGTACACCTGAAGCAAAGCGGTTACACAAGCAGCCCATGGGGACTTACAAAGAAAGCTAAAGATGCGTCTCCCCTATTCACTACGATGGAATGTCTTACAGCCTTGAATTACATACATGCATGGAGGCAGAGTGCACATTTCCTTGCCGTATAATTTATAGGGGAGACTTGTGCCCAGCAGTGGGAAGTATACAAACTGTGACGTAAAAGGCTGAATTACTATTATATTGTCTCTATTTTCCTTCAAATTTCTAACAAACGAGCAAACATTTTTTTTTAAAGATTCCGTAATAATTTTTAATTCACATCCGTAATATTCTAAACCTTAACATGAACTACGTTAGATATATATTTTAAACAAAATCATATTAAGGCGATTAGTATTTCGTTACTTTTTTTATAAATTATTAATGAACGATAAACTCTTAGCAACCAGTTTTATCTAATTTATTATTAATGCACATTAGTGTATTGATTATATAAGTGAGGCGATAACCTCGAAAATTTGGAAGTGTTTTCTAATTAATTATTATTTTTTAGTTTAATAAATTACGAACCAAACTTTTGGTATATGTTTTTGACTATATGATCTTGAATTGCATAAAATAAAAACACGATAACATGTAATTTTCTCGATAGATAATTTAAAATTAAAAAATTTATACAACCGATTTCAATATAAATTATTAAGAATAACTCAAGAACTATTTGTCAGACCTTCATCAAATGTATATGGGAGTACATGAGAAACACCAGTTTTCAAATAAAAAAAAGAATCACAGAATGCGGTTCGCCCAGAAAAAAATTATGAGGTAATACAAATAACAAAAAAACATACAGTTGAATTGAGTAACACCTCAGAAATATACTTCCCAGAAAATAATTGTAAAGTAGGCTCCACCGCAATATTTTTTCGAATTAGTTGGAATTGTTTTTAAATAATCATATCTAAGTTCACATAAACCATTTTTAAATTCATAACGTAGTTTTGTTAAAAAAATGGCACAGGCCACCTGATGGTAAATGGTTGCTCTGATCCGTAGACATCCACATCTATCCTCAATAAAGAATCAAAATGCGGATGCGTTGTCACCCGTGAGGACTAAGATGGAATGCCTCTTTTCCATTAAAAGGGTCTCCGCTTCTCTACGCTCACCATACGAAACACAGAGCAGCCTTAAGCTGCTATTTTATGCTGGTATTCTGTGAGAGCGTAGGCCTTCCCCGGTTCCCCACAGCATGGAAGGACGGACGGACGGATGGACGGACGGCGGAGGCTTAGTAATAGGGTCCCGTTGGTTACCCTTTGGGTACGGAACCCTAAAAGTATAGTGTCAAAGACATTGTGACATTACAACACAACGAGACTGGTACAGTATTGTATTACATTTTGTATTGTATTGTAACATAGCGAATCTTGAACACACTAAGAAGTACTAATACGTAGCTTGACTTACCATTGTGGAAGTAAACAGTGAGCGTATTGAGATAGTACTCGATGCGGGCACGCGTCGGGAACGGCTTGTTACGGAAATCACGGAGGCATCCTGACAGCAACTGCGTTGTACCATCGCTGCAGTAAAATTATAATATTAATTAATATAATATAATATAAATATTAATATATGTATGTGTAAACTGCATCGAGAATCGTGAGCAAAACCTTGACCTGGAGAGTAGTACATTTATAGGCCTGCTCTCTAAATTTATAAGGCCTTTTATATTTATATTACGAATAAGCCTCATAATTACATCTTAGAGACGGCTGATGTTAATGACTGAAGAATATTCTACGCTAAATCAGTATATTTTTTATAGAATAAGGATTACAAACGACCACACAGTCCACCTGATGGTAAAAGGATGCCCATAAACATCTACATTTATCTTCAATTAAGAATCAAAATGCAGATGCGTTGTCACCCCTGAGGACTGAGGTGGAATGCCTCGTTTCCAGTAAAAAGGGTATCCGGTTCTCTACACTCACCATACGAAACACAGCAGCATTAAGCCGCTATTTTACGCTGGTATTAAGTATAAAGATAAACTATAATAGAACTTTTGTTTTGAAATAGATCGTAACATAACTCACAGAAACTGAGCTTCGTTATTCAATCTCGAGGAGATACAGATTTAAATAACTACAGGCCTTTGGTAATTTTCCTTGAGTTTTTTTAATGTATTTTTATGTTCATCTACTATTTGATTGCATATCAAATGTAATGTGACCAGAACGGAACGTAGCCTTATGATAATGTTATATTTGCATAATATGACATTTAATGTTAATATTCGCATATAGATTTAATGTTATGCTTTTTTTTAACTATACTACTCATTATTTTAGAGTCTAAAATATAGTATATATAGAATATAGTCTAAAATTTAGACTATATAACACTAAATAAAAACATTTTTGAATTACTAAACAACTTTAAACGCTTATATCAACTTGCACCCTCGATAATCGAATAACGTGTATTGGGATCATTTTTTCAATTATCAAACGCGAATGTAGTCCGACTAAGTTGTTGAGAATTTTTATAAAAAACGACATGAGTGTTTTGCTTTATTTGTCCCAATAATTTCCCAAACTAAACGGCCGCGTTCTTATAAAAATAATTCGTGAAAAATCTAAATCTCATAAAAAAGAAAGAAAAAAGAACAAGTGACTGTGATGAGACTTCTCACAGATAGACTTGTTAGGATACAAAAACTTGATTTAATTTTATACTTGCTTTAAAGCAAACAATAACTCAAATAGGCTATTGTTGGGAATAAGTAAAAGTGGAAGCTCCGTCAAGATCGAACGACCGTACGTATACCGCCATCCTTACGGTCCCAATCGACTCCTTTACCGTGGCCTATGTAGATCGTCAGTTAAAGCTCGTTGGTGGATCATCGTAAAACCGCGGTTTTGTCAGCCCACGAGACAGGCTTCCAGTTTGCCAACGTTCTTTGAAATCTAGCACTTAGCTTCACCACGTCATTTAAATGGCGGTATATGAAAATCCGCTATCCCATATCATCACGTGGAACTGTCGAGAATTCAATTTTGCATACAGAATAGAATAGAATATTTTTTATTCAATATACATTACATGTGTAATTCTTATTGAAAGTCATTTTTAACTTTACCACTGGTTCGAAAAAAACCCTCTGTCCTGGGAAGAACCAGCAAGAAACCCAGCGGGACTTTTTTTTAAAATAAATTTTACAATATAAATGATTACGAACTATTTACAAAATTTATTTTAGAAACTGCTTGGAAGCGATCACCTCATTCCCAGGGGTTATTATCAACCATTGTATTCATTTATACTATAATAACCCTTTTTATACAATTTCAGCTTAATAAAACATTTAAACTTGGTAATAGAGAGAACCTGTACACTTTCTGGGACCTTGTTGTAATAGCGTATACATTGCCCCAAGAATGAATTACTGACTCTGTGGAGTCGAGAAACTGGTATCACTAGCTTGTGTTTGTTCCTAGTGTTTACAGAATGTATATCACTTCTTTTACTAAAACTATCTTTGTTTCTGTGAAGATACATTAAATTTTCGTAAATATACTGAGAGGCCAAAGTTAATATATTAATTTCTTTAAATTTATCTCTAAGAGACTCTCTCGGTTTTAGATTGTAAATAGCTCTAATGGCCCTCTTCTGTAAAACAAAAATAGTTTCTGAATCAGCCGCATTTCCCCATAGCAAAATCCCATAAGACATTATGCTATGAAAATAACTAAAATAAACTAATCTAGCTGTCTCGACACTAGTGAGACCTCTAATCTTTTTTACAGCATAGGCTGCAGAACTTAGTCTGCTTGCTAATTTGGATATATGGGGGCCCCACTGGAGCTTTGCGTCAAGAGTGATGCCAAGAAGAACAGTGGATACAACAGGGCTCAATTCCTCCCCATTTAAAAACACATTGGTATTCAGATTTTGAACATTCGTTGTTGTAAATTTAACACAATTAGTTTTATTTCCGTTCAAATGCTGATTATTAACGTTAAACCAATGCACTAATTTTGATATAGCATTATTCACTTCGTCACATTTAAATGATTGACGTTTAAGTTTACAAATCAAGGAAGTATCATCAGCAAATAATACAGATTTTAGCGATTCTATCATCATCGGCATCATTATCTTTACAGCCGTCCGCAAGTCCACTGCTGAACATAGGCCTCCCCCAAAGCACGCTCCTGAGCCACCGACATCCATCGATCCTATATGTCTTGCCAGGTCGTCACTCCATCTAGCGGGGCCATGCCCTACAATTCGCCTACCGGTACGAGGCTGCCACTCGAGAACCTTTTCCCCATCGGTTGTCGGTTCTTCGAGCTATATGGCCAGCATTGCCACTTCAGCTTATCAATCCGTTGGGCTATATCGGACACTAGTTCTACTTCATTTCCTCATTTCTAAGTTTATCACGCAGAGAAAGCCCGAGCAGTGCCCTCTCCATAGCTCACTGAGCGACCTTGAGCTTGAGCGTAGTTAAGGCCAGCAATGAAGGACTACGTCTCAGATCCATAAGTCATCACTGGCAACACGCACTGGTTGTACAATCTCGTGTTCAGGTTTAACGGTATACCTGACGAGAATATGTGTCGTAATTTCCCGAACGCTGCCCAGCCGAGCCGAATCCGTCGATTGACGTCCCGATCGAAGTTGGATTTACTTAGTCGGACTATTTGTACCAGGTAAACATACTCGTCCACAACTTCGAGCTTAGTGCTCCCGACAGCCTTCTATATCTCATAATAATATATTAACGAATAAGTCATTTCTTAGAATCTTAACTTTACCCACCTCTTATGGTCAAAGTTACGGGTTCCGTCATTGAGTACCGCCATGATGTAGGGGTTGTTATGCTTGTTGTCATTGTCGAAGGAGTCGAAAATGACTGCGAGACCGTTCCATCGGTCTGACGACCCGAACACCTCGCCGGTGTAGTCACCGCGCTGCGTCGTGTACCAGAAAGCCTAGGGAGAAATGTTCAAGTTTAACTTTGTATACTTTACTTTTGTCTTTAAAAAACTTAAATTTACAGCCTATATACGTCCCACTGCTGGGCACAGGCCTCCTCTTATTTGTGAGAAGGTTTTAGGGCAAGGAAATGTCCGCCGCGCTGCCCCAATGCATGTTGGCGAACACACGTTTTAGAAATATTATTTTTCTTATTTCTCAGACATGCAGGTTTTTTCACAATGTTTTCCTTCATCGCCAAGGACGTGGTAAATCAGCTCTTAAAATTGCAATTAACAATTTCATTGGTGCCGGCGGGAACGAATCCGGACTGCTCGCGTACTGTGAAATTTACAGCGACCGCTTAGCTTATGAGCTACTACGACTCATCTTTTATCTTTATCTTTACTTTACACGAAGATATTCTCCTGTATTATGTAGGCGTTTTAAATACATACATTTAAAACCCTGTTGCACATGGAAAAACATCCAGACCCAGAACAATTACTTGTAGACCATACAAACTCCATGTGCTCCATTGTTCCATGTGGGATACTAAGGTATTAACTAATTATCTAATCACCCTTAATTAAAAAAAAAGCTTACCAAACCGTCGGCACCTATTCTTCCTCGCCCGGTTATTTTGAACATGATGTCCACCTCCCACCAGTCGAAGTTGATAGGCTGCTTGGTCCATATTGCACCCTTTTGACTCCTCAGCGACGGAGCTAATCGCACGCTTTCCCCGGACGCTATCGCATCTATATAAAAAAGTCAATCAATCAATATTTTCTATGTATTATATTGTCGTCTAAGCGCGTATTTTGCGTGTGGGCAGGAATAATGTATTTATTCGAGCCATGAAATCTCCCCTAAGAAGTTCAACAGTTCTTTGATGTTGCATGCAACTTCGGGAAGTGATCCCGGCATGCCGAGATGTTTAGCCCTGTATACAGCGACTTCCGGACACGTCAGCAACACGTGGGCCGCCGTTTCTTCCTCCCTCATACATGCCCTGCACAGGGGACTGTCCGTAACACCTATGGTAAATAAATGTTTGTTTAAATTGCCGTGTCTTGTGATAGCACTTGTTACTATCCTCATCTGCTATCTGCCTCAGCTGCTCTGTTACTGTACTATCCTGATGTATTATATTAAAAATTAAATAACAATCAACACAATATGGGTTGACTGGTAGAGAATGCCACAAGGCATTAAGTCCGCCCTTTATATCCCTTATTATAAGGTAGATGTAAAAAATAATAAATAAATAAATATGCATAGCCGGTGGTGTAAAAGTCCGTATTTGCCCTACGCTGCTGCCCCAATGAGAGTTGGCGGGCTTCACATGTTTGGGCATAAGTCCATCCCAGGATTCAACATCATCAAGTTGTAACAACCTACTTACAGCTGCATGCAGATATTTTTTGATGTAGAATTCGAAATTTTATGATGCCAGTCACAATATTGTTCTTCTGGCCATTATATTTATATTTTAAAACGGTCATTTGTCAGATCTTAGAAAATTGTTTTCTTAAAATTATAGCCAGAGTGTAACCTTGGGTACCTTGCTTGTTTCACATGATAAACTACATCTGCATTCAATGTTGATAAAATAAAGTAGCTAATTTGTAAACATTCATGTTCTTTGTATAATGTGAGAGTTTAAAATTACACTGCATAAGTGCATGAATTAAAATGTTGATGACTCATTACCTACATTTTAAAGTTAGAAGTCAACTTGGTACAATTTGAATAAGAATCGAAATAATTATATTGGTATCTTCTTACACTATGTGTAACTTAAATTAAAAAAACCCCGAAACAAAAGAGTCTGATCATCTTTCAACGGCTGAAGAGATTTTCTTAAAACATAGCTAACAACACTCTCGATTAAGACACCTTTCAAAGTAAAAAAAAAATAACTTAATCAAAATCAGTTCATCCGCACACATTACAAACTTATAATTAATTTAAAATTAAAATAAATTAATTAAAATTAATTATAACATTATATCGTGTATATTCTTGATTATGATATTATCTCATCATGTTTAGGCTAAACCAATACTAATACTTACTAATGTAGTAACATGATATGCCCAATTTATAGCATGTATTAAAATGTTGATAAAAGTTGTATTATTTTTGATCTACCGAATTAAACATTATCAGCTGTTATCCGTTTACAAACTGATACACAATTATAAGTGCTACCAATAAAATTATTAGCACACTGTTTGAAATACTCACAAAATATATTATAAATAATATTTACACTTAATTAAATAAGTATAATTTGTTGTTAATTTCACCTTTAATATGTTATGTATAATAAAAACATATTGTAGAGGTGTTGTAAGAGGTGACAGAGCGAAATGGGCAGCAGTAACTTCATAACAATAAATGAAAAAAAGCCACCAAGTGCGAGTCAGACTCGCACATGAAGGGTTCTGTACCATCGTACAACATGTTTCTAGTAGGGGAGCCCCTTTAAGTTTTAATTTTTTTATTATATGTTCTTATAGAGGCAACAGAAATACACATTCTGTAAAAATTTCAACTGTCTACTTATTACAGATCATGAGATACAGCCTTCTGACACACAGACGGACAGCGGAGGCCTAGTAATAGGGTCCCTTTGGTTACGGAATCCAAAAAACAATTAAAAATCTGCGGTTACAATTCCAAACAAGGAAATTATTATTCGCCCAACTATCGGCGAGGCCTACGTTCAGCATTACCAATAATGTAAAAATATAATGAATTGTATTGTATTAGTGTATTGTCACGTGCATGTCGAGCTAATCCACAATCTTACAAATGCGGATCCCGTGTGAAATTAGCGAGTTTACAAATGCGGATCCCGCGTGAAATTAGCGCGTTTACAAATGCGGGATAACACGTGCGGGATCCGCAAGATTTGCAAGATTTTATTTTTTTCAGCCTGAATTTGCATAACATCATGTACGGCACAAATGCACGATAATAGGGGGCTCCCCTAATAGAAGTACGTATCTGTGTGTGAGAAGAGTGAATGGGAATTTCTCTCAGTACGGGGATTCCCCAAAATATCTGTTGCGTGATTTTATACTCTGCTAATGCTTGCACTATTTCAGTTGTGATGCGTGAGTTTGTACACATGCGATTTAAATTGAAATAAACAGTTTATTTTTATATTTAACGGTGGTAGAGCCCTGCAGCAGTTTTTTGCTGTTGCACGTATGGGCCGGCTCGAGCCGGGTTGGTACCACGACCTCACAGAATACCGGCGTGAAGTAGAGGCTCTGCTTCTGCGTTTCGTCTGGTGAGTGCAGGTGGCCGGAAGCCCAATTCCCCCCCCCCCCCCCATCAACATGGTAGCGGAATTAGACAATAGACTACCCCAGGAGGGTACCAGTACCCCTGGAGAATCCCTCGCTGAGCATCCACGACCATGTTATTCCAATCCTGAGCGTGGGTGCTCAGGCTGCCCCGCGTATTCTGGGGGGGGGGCAAAATTCCGCTCAAAAACAAAACTGCTCGGGGCAAGCTGAGCAACAATACCAAGGCGACCCCTGCCACGCTATCCGTGAATTTCTGCAACATCAGGGGACTTCACTCTAACCTAAACGCCGTCCACTACCATCTCGAGACGGCGAAGCCGGCCTTGCTCTTTTTGACCGAGACGCAGGTTTCCTCTCCGACTGATATTTCGTATCTCTCCTACCCGGGGTACAAATTGGAGCACTCCTTTGTGCCTCGGGCTGGAGTTTGCGTGTATGTTAGAGAGGACATCTGTTCTCGACGCCTCGGCAGTCTTGAAGGTTCGGACCTGTCCATCCTTTGGCTACGCGTAGACAGCGACGACCATCCGCGCGTCTACGGGTGCCTCTATAGGTCCCATAGCGGTAATGCCGAAACTGACCGACTCATCGACCACGTCCAAATGGCTACAGATTCCTTGCTACAACAGGTCCCATCCGCAGAGATCGTGATCCTTGGCGATTTTAACGCCCACCATGCCGAATGGCTCGGTTCTCGTTTAACCGATCATGCGGGGAGATCTGTTTATGACTTTGCCTTGGCATATGGTCTGACACAACTGGTTACTTCGCCTACGCGGATTCCAGATGTGGAGGATCATACACCTTCCCTGTTGGACCTTCTGCTGACCTCTCATCCGGACAGATATCAGGTTTCCGTCGATGCCCCTCTCGGCTCTTCGGACCATTGTCTGATCCGGAGTATGGTGCCACTCACGCTCCCTTCGCGGTTGCGTTCTGCAGGTTGCCGCCGTGTTTGGCATTACAGGTCGGCGGATTGGGACGGAATGCGGTCTTTCTTTGCATCCTACCCATGGGGGCGGGTTTGCTTCTCGCCGGATGATCCCAGTGCTGTTGCTGACTCTGTCACTGATGTGGTGCTACAGGGAATGGAACTATTTATTCCATCATCTGTGGTACCCATCGGAGGCAGATCTCAGCCTTGGTTTGGTCGCTCCTGTAAGACTGCATTGCGCAGTAAGCAGGAGTGTTATCAAGCCTGGGCTGCAGCTTCGGTGACTCGGGATGTAAACACCAGCACACTTAAAAAGAAGTATAACTTCGCCTCCAGGTCCTTCAAAAGAGTTATTGCCAAGGCAAAGTCAGAGCACATGGGCAGAATTGGCGAGAAACTAGTTCGCCTTCCTTCGGGAACCCGTGCATTCTGGTCTCTCGCCAAGGCTGTCCAAGGGAATTTCTGTAAGCCATCACTACCATCTCTGCACAGGGAGGACGACTCATTGGCCCAAGACGCAAAAGACAAAGCCGACCTTTTAGGCTCCCTTTTTGCGTCCAACTCGACTCTTGATGACGGGGGGAAAATACCGCCGACCATCCCGCGGTGTGAGTGCTCCATGCCGGATGTGCTATTCTCACAGCGCTCAGTTCGCAAAGCACTTCTCTCCCTGGACATCCAGAAGTCGAGTGGGCCTGACGGAATCCCCCCAATTGTGCTGAGGACGTATGCTCCGGAGTTGGCACCGGTCCTAACGCGTCTTTTCCGGTACTCCTACTCCCAAGGCGTAGTCCCGAATTCATGGAAGACAGCTTTTGTCCACCCGATCCCTAAAAAAGGCGACCGCTCAGACCCGTCCAACTATAGGCCTATCGCGATCACCTCCTTGTTCTCCAAAATAATGGAATCCATTATTAACTGCCAGCTCATCCGGTACCTTGAGGATCACCAGCTGATTAGTGACCGCCAATACGGTTTTCGTCGGTGTCGATCAGCTGGTGATCTTCTGGTCTACCTGACCCATAGATGGGCGGAGGCAGTAGAGTCCAAGGGGGAGGCGTTGGCCGTTAGTCTGGACATTGCGAAGGCCTTTGATCGGGTTTGGCACAAAGCGCTTCTTTCAAAGCTGCCTTCCTATGGGCTTCCCGAGAAATTGTGCAATTGGATCACCAGCTTTCTTGCAGATCGGAGCATCAAGGTCGTTGTAGACGGTGCATGTTCTGACTACAAGCCTATTAACGCTGGTGTTCCACAAGGCTGTGTGCTATCACCAACGCTGTTTCTTCTGCATATCAATGATATGTTGCTAACTGGTAACATTCATTGCTATGCGGATGACAGCACTGGTGATGCTCTATACACCGGCCGGGCCAATATTTCTCGGGAAAACGTCGCCGAGTACCGGAACAAACTTGTGTCTGAAGTCGAGTCTTTGCTGGACAAAGTCTCGGATTGGGGGCGACTAAATCTAGTCCAGTTTAATCCTCAGAAGACACAAGTTTGCGCGTTTACCGCTAAAAAGAACCCCTTTGTCGTATCTCCTCAGTTTCAAGGCACTCCCCTTCTTGCCTCAGCCAGTATCGGTATCCTCGGAGTCGACATATCGAGTGACGTGCAGTTTCGTGGTCACTTGGAAGAGAAGGCCAAATTGGCCTCTAAAAAGCTTGGCGTGCTCAGCAGAGCGGGACAGTATTTCATGCCGGCACACCGCCTGCAACTTTACAAGGCGCAGGTTCGGCCTCACATGGAATACTGTTCCCATCTCTGGGCAGGGGCTCCCCAGTGCCAGCTCCTTCCACTTGACCGCATCCAGCGCAGAGCGGCTCGAATCGTCGACGACCGAGTCCTTTCCGATCGGCTCGATTCATTGGCACTGCGAAGAGATGTTGCATCTCTTTGCATTTTCTTTCGCATCTACCATGGGGAGTGCTCTGAGGAATTGTTCGGATTAATCCCAGCCGCCAAATTTCACGAACGCACATCGCGGCAGAACTCCCGATACCATCCACACCATCTGGATGATTGGCGGTCCACCACTGTGCGATTTAGAAGATGTTTTCTTCCTCGCACAACTTCCTTGTGGAATAGTTTACCACCAGGGATTTTTCCGGACCGATACGACTTAGGGACCTTCAAGAAAAGAGCCTACTCCTTTTTAAAAGGCCGGCAACGCATCTGCAATTCCCCTGGTGTTGCGGTTGTTCATGGGCGGCGGTAGTCACTTACCATCAGGTGAGCCGCATGCTCGTTTGCCCCCTCTCCTATAAAAAAAAAAAAAAAAAATATTTGAACAGCAATATTCTATCTAAATAAAATTAATTAATTAATAACTGGCTATAGGTAAAGTTGGAATCGGGAAATTAAAAATGAGTGCTAAAGTGATTTCTAAGGAATACGACAGTAATAAATTTGTATGGCAGCACTTTCTAAGATTGGAAGATGGCCTATCTGCGTAAACGTTGTCCTTCTATCATCAAAATAAGCGCTCGATCTACTACGGGCTTGCAAGTACACTTGCTTACGAAGCATAAGATGACAGAGGAATCCGTATGTAGCGTTAGTGATACTGAAACCGCCAGTACAAGCTCTTCTCAGTAGCATTCACAACAAAATACTTCAATGCCGGCTAAAAAGGTAAAAGTCATCACAGATTTTTTTTCAAAGTCAACAAAATGTTCCATGGAAGAGAGAACATCACGAATAGTCGCTAAGTATGGCATACCATTCTCAAAGTTTACAGCATCAATTGACTTACGAGAACTGTTTGAAGCAAAAGGCCATAAATTGTCTGCCTCTGCTTATACAATTAGATCTATTGTAATGGAGTATGGGGCTTCAACTCAAAAGAAAATGGAGGAAACAGAGAACAATTTGACAAGCAAGTGTCCGAATCTCATTAATCTTTTTCTTTTTAGATCTTTCGAAAAATCTTTTTCAGAAATTTTGATCTTTTTTGATCAAAATTTAATTATACCATTTGTTTCTTCTAAGTAAATTATATTATTTCATTTACTGACTTAGAAAATAATATTGTGGGCTAATAATTGTAAAATATTGTACAATCCTGCAATTCTTGTGGATCCGCAGGTCTGATGGTCTCAATCTTGCGGATTTGGATTTGGATTTTGGCTCTTTTGGATGCTGGATTGCATTCCCTAGTGCCAATAGTACATTTTTTCACTTATCTATTTATCAACATGCACTTGAAATTTATAATTATGCTAACACCTCAATACTTTAATTATTTAATAATTACAATAAAACCAATGTGCTCAAAACACAACTTAGGCAATAAACAATTATTTAATAACACTTGTGCCCAAGGACATAAAAGAAATGGGCACCTGTGAGCATGAATGTATCAATGTGAATAAGTATTTTTTTCATTACAAGGATTTTTAATAAAGAAAATATAGGAGAGGTGAATTCAAAAACTGATCTGCAACTCTTTCAATGTTTACATGTCCAAGGAGATTTGTTGTGTTGATTTGAAATCTAAAAAATCTTTATTGGTGTTGTGCCCAGAAATAAATAGTTATTATATAATTTGTATTAATTTCAAATTCATTTTTATTTTATTCAATTGTTCTATAGCAGTACCATATTTGCTTGACTGTAGTCTTTACTGACTACCTTTTTCTTACTTCTTTTATCGAAATATTCTCTAAATTTATCATAACAAAGGTTTTTGAATTTTATATATATATATATATATATATATATAAAATTCAAAAACAAGGGTAACAAACAAGCACACAGTCCACCTGATGGTAAGTGGTTGCTGTGGTCTATAGACATCTACATTTATCTTGAACTATGAATCAAAATAAAAAGGGTTCTCTACGCTCAACATACAAAACACAGCAACATTGAGCTGCTATTTTACACTGGTGTGTGGTTCTTCCCCGGTCGAACCAATCAATTTGTGCTACAACTATACTAATAATATAGCTGCAGCATGACTCTACCACATATAAATTGAATTACATATTAATCTATAAATTGAATTTTGTCAAAGTTTCTGTGTAGTGGTAAAATATTTAATTTCTTTCCTTGCATTAAAGCAGATTTTGCTCAGCAAATAGGTCAGCCTCATCATTATGAAATGTTATTTTAAGTACTCATAGTAATTTTTAGAATTAAATGATTGTATAATTATGGGACGGGATTGAGACTCGTTCTGAAGTATTTACTTAAATACTAAAGGACTTGCAATAAATCTTATGCAGGTTTTAAATAGGTCAAAATAATAACACAATTCCTAATAATATGAACCGTTTTCTTGACTACCTAATAAAAGAAGGGCCCAACATTTGCATTTGTATGTATGTGTTTAGTGAATAGTTAACACAAATCCAGTGCATGTGCTAAGAATGTATACAATTTTAAGGAGTAAGAACAGAAGCTCTCAGTTATTAACTAGAATAAAGCAGTATTTCATTACAAAATATCTAAAATAATTAAATTTCATGGGGCAAAAATGTATTGATATTAAAAAGTTACATCTTATTTCATTTAATTAAACCATTACATTTAAATTAAACCGCAACCAAAGCGAGTGCCGTCGTGGAACTAAAAACAAGTCTCGGTCATTAATTTTTTGTCTCTTTTGTACGTATCATAGATTGCCTATGTTCATCTTGCTCTATCGTGACAGATTTCACTGACGTGTCGCTGTCAATTAACACTACCGAAACAACACGATTTTTTTATTGCTGAAAATGCAGATTTTATAACATAATAGAATACAACTTACTGCAAAAATTAACTACATATTTTGTCACAAAAATGTAAACTTCTAATAAAACGTGTATTATAGTTAAAAAACCAGAACATTCATATACTTACTGCCACCGTACTCCCAAAACGGCACCGTTCCATCTTTTTGAGCTAAATACGGTGGTTTAAAGGAATATTTATATTCAAAACGTTTGTGAACCGTCTGGGTGTTTATACTAACAAAGACACTAATCACCGTACATAGCAGTAAACCTAATTTTATCGAAAACATATCGACGGACTTAATCGCGCACGAGCACGACTACGGATTAATGTCAATTGTCATTTGTCAATCAATGTCAAAATGAAATTGTAGATTTTTCATTTATTGTAGCATTGGCTATAAGGCTTTTAGCCACTAAGAAAACATCAAACTGTAATATATTTTATTACATATTTTGTTTTACAGAATATGAATGTGATAACTTTCTTCACAATAGGTTGTTGTCAATAATAGTCATAGACTTAGAAAATACTGTATGCCGATATATTCTAAGTCTATGATAATACAGTGGATTTCGGGTATTCGGGTATAACGACGATGAAGGGACCACTCTATTTTCGTCGTTATATCTGGAAGTCGTTACAGGCAAAGGTAACAAATTCAATACATTACAGTTGCTACTCAGAATATCACTTTGTAACTTAACCATAAATTTAACTCCGAAACGTACACGCTTCCCTACCTACTTAGCTGATATCAATAAACAAAAGGTAAAGGTCTCCATACCTGGTGATGATCTGTGTGGATGTAAACAAAAGATAAGAAATGTCTTTGAAAGAAAGAAATCTTTGTGTCTTTGGCGGCCGACTCCGGTCGCAATATCTGCATGGGATTTCTAGGAATTTGTTACAAATGATTCATTAAAAACAGTCTCTACACCCGAACCCGGCGTTACATCCGAAGTCGCTATAGCCACATGAATTTTGTACTAAAATATGCTTTAAATTCAAGGGACTTAGATTTAAAGTCGCTATAGGTAAATGGTCACTACAACCAAGGTCGTAATAAATGACATACACTGTAGTTCACTTAAGACTTTAAAAATCAAGAAAACATAAAACTTTTAAGAATCAAAATCTATATTATAAAACCATTGGAAGTTGGAACGATTTATTGTTTTTCAAGTTTTAACATGAAAAATCAATCCGTCGGTGGTCAAGTTTGCAGCAGAACTTATAAAATTGTTATTGTAAATTAGTCCAGAGTAGGTTAACTGGTATCAAAACAAGAGTATCGAATTCTTACTTGTATCAAATCATTCCTACATGGTTGGCTATAATAATAAGAAATTGACAGAATTCACTTCTTTTTGAAGCATCTGCAGTTAAATATGCCAATTAGCATTTCTAAGTTATCTAAGCCAGACATTTTAGTATATTATAAATATTATAAATTTTAAGGTGTTTTACATTATTTAAAAAGTGTTACGTTTAGCATTCGTCGCAAAGACGCTGAAGGAGAAAAACACACTAAATCTAGCGCCAAAAGTAGAAAACTGTACCACCTGACTCCGTGGGATTAGTGTATTACGAGTATCAATGGCGATGGTACTAAAACATAGGAGTTATGAAGAGGACCCAAAATTCTTGCAGTTAAACTTTGTAAGCTTATGACATTTTATGTGTTACAAAATAAGATAGGTGTATTTTTGTCAGATCGTCATCTTCACTCTTTTAAAAGTTTATAGTCTTTTTTTCTTATCGCAATAAACTAAGAGTAAATAACTATAAGTCAAGGGTTGATTATTCGAGTGTTTACTATTTCTAAAAATAAAATCTTCGAATCTCTGGAGTGTAAAGGAAATAGAGGATCACCATAATGTAATGCAAACATACTACTTAAAGGGTTGGTACAGGTGATTCAGATTTACATATTTATAGGTTACTAGCTGGCCAGGCAGACGTTGTTTTGCCCTTTTCAACGACCCTTCCTATAAAAAAATCCTTAAATTCGCAATAAAAAAATATTGAAGGTCACTTATCGGGATAAAAAGTATCCTATCTCTCAAGTTGGACCAAACTGCACATAGTGTGCAAAATTTCATTGAAATCAGTTCAATTGTTTGGGAGTTCATCGCGGACAAACAATGTGACACGTAATTTTTATATATAAAGATTAAAGAATATTCTAATTAGATTAATCAATATCGGCAATACCATCATTTCAGCTTCAGATGATGCCACAACGTGAGTGGATTGCGATGTACAATATGTAACAAAAACTCTGTGGTTCCCGTTAAGTACGTTATCAGGATCATTATTGAAACCTATAGAAATATTCTTTTTTAAAAACTCGAACAATATTTTTTATTTTATTTAAAAAAAATTAATTGTATGCAAATTGTATGTGGTTTTATTACCTATGCATTATCTGGGGAGTAAGAGAATTGTTAAAGACCCCGCTTTACTTAGCTTTAGCATCGGCTAGGGTCAGTAAGAGGTAATAAAACCACATAAAATTAAAAAAATATTTTTTTAATTGAATAAAAAAATTTATGGTCGAGTTTTAAAAAAAAAGGTATTTCTATAGGTTTGAATACTGATCTTGATAACGTACTTAACGGGAACCACAGGGTTTTTGTTACATGTTCTATATATATGTATATATTATACACCACCATTCTTGTATCGTCTCGAAATGAACAGTGCTTTCGAATTCCTACTCTCTTGGTCAATAAAGATTGCGATAATACACTCGACACTGTAAATTTGGTCCTTCGAGCTGGATTTTTCTATCTCTTACTTATTTGATAGCCCAATATATTAGTAAGTAAATTGTGAACTAAATGAATTTGCGATAGCAGAAAGGTAGTAAATCTATCGGTCAAGTTGGATATTGGCATTAGTCATAATAATATAATTATAATCTTATATTTCGTTCAGGCGCCAGATAGCTTTATTGCGGTTGTTTAATTTCGAAGTTTTTTTTTTAAAACATTCAGGGTAACCCATGTATTGATAATTTTCTGATGATTTATATTTATTATAAAAAGCTTAAAGCTTATCCATGGTAGCTCCGAGTAGCGTTTGGCACACAAACTAATAAGAAGTGCTAGGTTTGGCGTAAGTTTCACAGTACCCAAGCAATATAGGCTCGATTCCCACCGTTATTAATTAAAATGTTAATTGAAATTTTTAGAGCTGACGTGCTCAGCGGTAAAGGAAAACATCGAATTTAACGCGAGAAAATTTTCGTACAATGATTTTTTATGACTTTCTATGTCATTTAAGCTAACAAGAAAGTTATGATAGATTTCGATTGGTCTTTCACAATGAAGCCCCATCTCGTGCCACTACTGTTTACAACTGGTTTAATCAGTTTAGAAGTGGTCACACTAATGTCACCGATTATCTGCGTGAGGGACGGCCTTCTACGGCGACGACTGAAGATAAACTCAGTGTAGTGCGGCGTATGATAGAGACTGACAAAAGAGTGACTTATCAGCAGATTCGGACAAGCTTAGGCATCGGTATGAGTCAAGTGCACAAAATCCTCCATGAACATTTAGCGGTCAAGAAGCTTTGTATTATTTTGTGCTCATAATTTGACAGAGGCCCAAAACTCCGTCGTGTTGATTGGTGTCGTGAAATGGTTCAAAGATTTAACGGAGATGACTCAAATGCTGTGTTCGACATAGTTACGGGTGACGAAAGCTGGATTTATTGTTATGATCCTGAAACTAACAGACAGTCAGTCTGCTGTCTGGGTGTTTGCTTCCGAGGAGTTGCCAACTAAAGTGAAGAGAGGTCTATGCGTGGGAAAAAAGATGGTGGCCTTGTTTGGAAGGACAGGTCATTACGCAACAATTGTTTTACACTAACAATTGTTTGCCACTCGTCTTGGAAAAAGTTCGGGAGAGACTACCTTGCAGTAGGATCCTCCTTCACCAGGACAACGCCTCGTCGCACACCTCCAAGTAAACAATCGATTACTTGGCAACGTCAGACGTGGAATTACTGGGTCACCCGCCCTATAGCTCCGACATCGTAGCTTGCGATTTTTATTTATTTCCGAAAAAAAAAAGAGAAACTTCGAGGAAAACGTTTTATGGACGCCGAGAAAGCAGTAGCTGCGTTTCAAAATGCCGTCGAAAGGACCCCTAAGGACGAGTGAGCAAAGTGCTTTTCTCAGTGGTTCCATCAGATGCAGCGATGTATTAATGTAAAAGGGCACTGTTTTGAAAAGATATAATAAAATTAATACTTGCTAGTTTGTTCAGTTTTTGATTTTCTAAGAACTTTCAGTTTCACCCTCGTATAACATATATACCTAGTCAGGTCATAAATTCTGTCACATGTTTAATATAAAGTAATTGAAACAAGTTTATTCATTATGTAACCATTTATATACCAAAATGAACTTAACAAAACATAGATTCTTATGACACTAAAGTTTATTCAAAACGACCTCCGTGATTTTGAATACAGGCCTTCAATCTGCGCGGCCAGTCGTCTATCGCGGCACGAACGAGGTCCATGTCAATATCAGCGGCTGCCTTAATCAAGGATGTCTTGAGTGACTCCAAATTGGGATGACGCTTTCAGCATTCCTTTTCCTCCAAGTGTTGCCATATCTTGTAATCTAATGGATTCAAATCTGGACTGGAGGAGGGCCAGTCTTCATGCCGGATGAAGTCGATTTCACGCGCCGCCAGCCAGTCTTGTGTGCTCTTCGCTCTATGAGCTGGCACCGAATCTTGTTGGAATACCCAGTGCCCGTTATTGAACATGGTATGAGAAACAGGTTCCACAAGGTTCGTCAGGACTGTATTTTGATACACAACTGCATTCGTTTTTACACCTTTCTCACAAAAATGTACCTCTGTTAAGTCCCAATAAGAAACTCCCAACCATACCATGAGCGAGGATGGAAAATGACCTCGTTGGACACGCGGAATACGGTTGCTCGCTTCTTCACTACTGTGTGCGTACACTTTGTCTTTGTTTATCATTTTGTTTGTTGTAGCTCTCTTCTACGGTAAACATTTTTTCATCCGAAAAAAGAATTTCCCGATATTTTTTCCGCGTACCGCTTCAACAAAGCGCGGTATGTCTTCAGTCTCAGGTCCATTAGACGAGCATTCAAACGATGTCCTGTTTTTCTTCGATATGCCCGAAGCACTAAGTCTTCATTTAACACCCTTTTCACCGTGGTTCTGCTTAACCCCATCTGAAGGGCCAACAGTTTCTGCTTACGTTTGGAATTTCTTTGAATTCGTGCCTTCACAGCTTTTATCACTGCTGGAGTCCTAACAGACCGAGGGCGACCACTTCTTGATCTGTCATCTACACTAGAGTCTTCATTGTATCGTTTGATGGTACGATAAATGAATCTTTTGGTTATATTCAAATTTTTCAGTATTTAAAAAATTTGAATTGGCGCGTAACCGCAACGATGCAACGCAATAACTGCAACACGGTCTTCTTTAAGCGTCCACTCCATATTTAAAAATGAGTAAAATTCTAAAAAGTATACAGTTTTATTTTCATGAACAATTCGAAATTCGAATTCAATAAACTTTTTTGTGGCCAGCATTCTAAAAGAAAAGTTTTTACTGTGTGACAATACTTATGACCTGACTAGGTATGTTCAGACCGGAGAGGGAGAGTAGCGTCCAATATTCGCGGCGACCAGTTATCTTCAATCCGCCTATGAACCGTGGCTATTACGTAAGTCGTTCCTACAATAATAAAGGGCCCATAAGTGGATTGTTACAGGTTCACGACTAAATAGAAAAAGTGAATAGTCGCAAAACAGATATTGTTTAAAAATAAATAAATAGAATAAAAGAATATAACGTTTCAATCGTATTTATTATGAAGTGAACAAGAATTGTTTATTGATTAAGTGGATTTTTTGAACGGGTAGAAGGGATGATCCAGCCATTTTAGTTGCGGTATCGTCCTATAGCCCTTGTCGAAAGATTTTAAAAGTGTTCTTTCTTCTTCCGTCAGTTTAAAGTCAAACACGTCGATGTTTTGTTCTATTCTGCTTTTCGTTAAGGATTTTGGTATAGGTACAACGCCCAGTTCAATCTGGAATACAATATTTTTTGTAATTAGGTATCAAATCTCAAATCTACGTAGGTATAATATCATGGATACAAAAAATATGTATCACTTTTAATATTATTATTTTTAATGAGTCACAACATATTTTGTGGCTATGAGCGGTCTTTTTATTTCTTTTTCTTTTTTTATTTTCTTTTTATTTTTATTTCACAGCTCATATTTTATCAGCACATCAAGTGCCGTCCTTGCCTAGCGTTTTTTTTATAGATTATTAACAAAAACATGTAGAAGCAGTATGTACTAATAGAAAAAATAAATAAATTTCGAAGACTTCACATGTCCCCGAAAAAAGTATGTTTGTAAAATAAGCCCTCTCAAAAAAGGTCAAGTACACATCACAAATGATAAAAAAATATAATGAATTTATTACCAGATATCTGAGAGCTATTTGAGGCACTGTTTTATTATATTTCTTAGCGATCTCAACCAAAGATGGATCGTCAACACGCGGCGGTGGGGCATCAGGTTTTGCTTTGCCGTAGAACAGTGAACCGAAGGGTGTGAAGCCCATAACAACGATATTTTTATCCTTGCAATACTGAAGTAACTCGGGTTGTTGAAGGTTCAGGTTAATCTGTGAAATTAATGTATAAAAATAAAATTACTCTTGGAACGTAAAATTAAAGTATTAAAATATTTAATACAATTTATTTACAATATTAAAAACTATGATAATAAAAAAAAATTTAAAACTAGAAACTTAATTATCATATAGTCCTAAAAACGTAAAATCACACTGTAAGCTATAAATATGTATCTGGACCTCGCTGCTATATTTGCTACTAACACCTAGATCTGCACCGTCGGAGGCTGCAGGCTGGTTCACGCTCAGCCGCTTATGCGCTCTCCGTGCGCTAGTTAGCCTGGACACTTGTCCAATTTGTTTTGTGAAATATGTCACTGTATGCTCACATTGCGTTGTATATATATTAAGACGAAAATACTCGTATAATGAACGCAGAGAAGTCAAATTTTGAATTCATCCATCCAATCTTAAAAATCAAATACTAAGAAGGAACATAGTATACCATATTTTAAAAGTTGGAAATGGACTGGATATTTCAACTACTTCCGCATGAACGAGAAGACATTTCATCATTTTTGTGATTTCGAGTCTTAATCTCAACGCGTCCCGTCTTTCTTATACGTCCATAGTCCCTTCTAATTCTGCCCGGGCACATGCACTCACGCTGCAATATGTACACAATTTGCCGGCCAGCAACGAGTGGAAAGCTTGCTGTCACGGTACCGGCGAAGTCACCGGTTGGAGTCATTGCCGTGCCGACGCCGGCGCCGGTAACTAGAAAAACATACTTGCATACATACATACATAAACACTCACACCTGTCACCCAGAGGGGTAGGCAGAGACTACGGACTTCCATTTGGCGCGATCCTGACACACCTCTCTCTCGCCTCCTTTACATCCATATACCTACGCATACACGCTCGTCGGTTAAGGGTACTCTTAATCTGGCCCATTTTCAATGTATCGCCGATTTGGTCGATAAATGTTCGTCTAGGGCGTCCCTTCCCGACTCTGCCGTTCACTTCTGCAACATAAATTTGCTTTGTCACACTTTCCTCGTTCATTCTTTCTACATGACCAAACCACCGAAGCATTCCTTTCTTAATCCTGGTCACAATGTCATCTTGCAAACCACACTTTTCTCTTATCACACTATTTCTCACCCTGTCATTCAGATTCAGCCATATAGAAAAGCATTCCATATATTTCATACATTTTATACATTTTTGCTTCCCCGGCAGCCGCGCCGTTGCCGTCGCCGTCACCGTGCCGTCGCCGAGCTTGTAAATGGAAAACCGTGCAATGGGCGACCCTTCGCTATTTTACCTTTAATGGTGAACCTTATACAGCTTATATAAGTTGGATAAGGCATATAATATTTATAATTACCTGATGAAATATAATAATTACTTGATAATTATCATCTGCAATATAGACAGTAATGCAATACATATTAAATGCAATTAAATGTAATATTACATTATAATGTATATAATTTAAAAATAGCTTTTACAATTAATACTGTACGGAAAGTAGAAGGAAATAAGTAGCCGAGTAATACCATATTCCCCATGGGAGTGATATGCCTACCTCAACCTGCAACACAGCAGGTACCTCCAACCCGTTGTCTATAATTCTGTCAATCATTTGCTCATTAAAGTTAGACAGTCCAATGGACTTGGCTAGTCCTTGTTGTTTTGCGTCTATCATCCCACGCCAAGTCTCCAGATAATCCGTGAAATCATATGATAAATTAGCCTGAAAGTTTAAAATTCAGAGTTTAGGTTCGAAGACAGTTTTCAATTACCCGAAATTTTACTATCCAACCCTAGAGAGGCGAATATTTTAAAAATAAAATCTCAAATGAGAATGAAACAAAGTTTTATAGCATATTGGACTTCTCGTCGTCGTTCTCTCGAGGTACACTAGTTGTAGGTAGTTATGATGTTGTACTCGAAACTGCTATTCAGTTTAATACTCGTAATTTGTTGGTGGTTATGGTTCCCGTCTACTAAATTTATCTAAGTGCTGCTTTACGTATTGTACTGTTGGTGTTAACTTATGACACGTTAAATTAGCGCGTAACGGATGTTTATTAACGACTAATAAAATAGAATAGAATTATCCATTATACAGATATCTACCGTTACTGTTTATAATAATTTATAAGCCTATTAAAGTCCACTGCTGAACATAGGTCTCCCCCACAGATTACCATAGTTGCAACGTTTGGCAAGCGGCTTGGCAATCGCAGTTTTTTTAGTCGTTATTAGGAAGACGCTGCTGCCCATTAACTGATTTGTTTCCTTCTGCAGCCTCTTACGACACCCACGGGATGTTATGGGTTAGTGGACATTCTTACACCGCCATTACATGGTAAGAGAGTATTTTTTTATAGGATAGGGTGACAAACGAGCACACAGTCCACCTGATGGTAAGAGGTTGCTGTGGCCCATAGACATCTACATCTATCTTCGTTTGCGAATCAAAATGCAGATGCATTGTCACCGGTGAGGACTAAGATGGAATGCCTCTTTTCCAGTAAAAGGCGTCTCCGGTTCTCTACACTCACCATACGAAACAAAGCAGTGTTAAGCTGCTATTTTACTTATTACTATTGCACATAAAATGACTTTTATACGTAGTAGAGCCATGCTGCAGCTATATTAGTAGTATAGTTGTAGCACGAATGGGTCGGCTCGACCGGAGAAGGACCACGCTCTCCAATACCAGCGTAAAATAGCAGTTTAACACTGCTGTGTTTCGTATGGTGAGTGTAGAGAACCAGAGACCCTTTTTATTGGAAAAAAGGCATTTCATCTTAGTCCTCACGGGTGACAACGCATCTGCATTTTGATTCGCAAACGAGGATAAATGTAGATGTCTATGGGCCACAGCAACCACTTATCATCCGGTGGACTGTGTGCTCGTTTGTCACCCGATCCTATAAAAAAAAAGTAGTTAAGTAAGAGTAGTTTGTATAGGTGCGCTCAAAGGAAGTTATTGGCTGGTACACATAAAATACTTAGATTTTATTACAAATTGCGATTGTATAGGCACTTACGAATTGTCCGATGGGCCAATGAATCAGATAGAGGTCGACATAGTCCAGACCTAGCTTCTGCAACGACTCTTGAAGAGCAGGTATAACAGCGTTTCGGGCGTGATGTTCATTCCACAGCTGTAAATATTTTAACATTAATAGATAATTCTATCATTATTAGGTGAAAATGTGCGAGTGCAGCGGACCTAATACGTACCTTAGTGGTGATAAAGAGTTCACTTCTTGGCACCTCATTCAGTTTGCTTGCTAGACCTCGACCGACCTGGTCCTCGATCTTGTAAGAGTATGCGGTATCAATGTGACGGTAACCTGCCTCGATAGCCCAGCCCACTGCTAGTTCTACTTCGTTTGACGAGGGCTCAACCCGGCCATATAAAAAAAAACGTTTTGTTAATGTCAATGTCACTAAAGTGTATTCTAAGTAGGGATTCCCCCTAAGCTAAGTTGTACTCTGCTAGACGTTTATGTTCACTATCTTGTTAAATTAGTTTTTATACAAGTGTATGTGTCACAAGTGAGCACGCAGTCTACCTCATGGTAAGTGGATGTCTCGGGCCATAGGTAGGCATCTACATCTTTGTTTATAGAATAAGGGTCATAAACAAGCACACAGCCCACGCAGCACATTTACCTGTAATTTACAATCAAAATGCAGATGCGTTGTCTGGACGTGTGTATGTATGATGGAATGCCTCGTTTCCAGCAAAAATGGTCTCCAATTCTCTAGATTCACCATACGCAACACAACAGAGTTAAGCTTAAGAATAGCAGCGTAAAATAGCAACTTAACGCTGCTGTGTTTCGTATGGAGAATGTAGAGAACTGGAGACCCTTTTTACTGGATACGAGACATTCCATCTTAGTTCTCACGGGTGACAACGCATCTGCATTTTGATTCGTAATCGAGGATAAGTGTTGATGTTTATGGACCGCGGTAACCACTTACCATCAGGTGGACTATGTGCTCGTTTGTCACCCTAAAATCATATAAAAAAAATTAAGCTGCTATTTTTCGCCAGCATTCTGTGAGTGCGTGGTCGAGCCGACCCATTAGTGGTACAACCAAATATAGCTGCAGCGTGGCCCTACCACGTAAAATTTCTATTTTTGATAAAGAATCAAAATACATTGGAGTGATGATACTCCTGAACAATAAGATAGAATACCCCATTACCGGTGAAAACGGTCGTCGGTTCTCGCCACCAACCATAGGAAACACAGCAGTATTATGTTACGCTGCTATTTACTGTGCGAGTATGCATTTTCTCTGTTCCGAGCCGATCCATTTGCTCTGCAGCCATAGTACAAAGACTCATACGCCAAAAGAGGAATGTTACTTGATAAAAGAACTGCTACAGCGAGCACAGTGCAGCCTTATCGCTAAAAGCGATTCTACCGAACAACTTTGTGGGATTGCGAGAGAGTTAAAAAACGTGTGTAATTTGGCAATACGTACCGAAAGAGTCGACTTTATATCCCATCATTATCATCATTACATGACTTTGATTACAGCATTATCAAAGTCAACTGCTGAACTTGGGCCTCTCCATAGATTGCCTTATATGGGGAACATTTTGCCATGCTTGGCGGGCGGGTTGGCATCTGCAGTTTTTATTTTCTAGTTGTTATTATGAAGACGCTGCTGCTCATCTCCTGGTTTGTTTCCCTCTGTCGCCTCTTACGACACTCAAGGTTCGACATGTGACAGTGGATATTTTTACACCGCCACTACACTATACTAATGTAAAAATTATAATTAAATCAAAAATATACATTAAATATTTTAATTTTTACATTAGTTTTATCTCTATGATTTGCTTCTACAAGAATTATTCAATATTCGGAGCCACTGCAATGTTTGTTGTTTGGTGAAGTACCTTGGTGTTGTTTCCCAGCCAGGTGCCTAGTGCTAGAGCGGGTATTTCCCTGCCATCGTTCAGTTTTAGCTTTGGAGCTAGGATTTTGCCATCCTGCGAAACAAAATATGTATGAAGAAATACATTTAAAAGAAAATCTCACAACTTCTTCATTGCATTTAAATAATAAAGAATAGAACAGAACATACACTATATTCAAACATTAACGACGTTATATCTAAAGTGAATTATACAAATAAAAAAAGTACAGGTAAGTATTTATTTATATTATGGATTATGGATTTTTATTATTAGTAATAAAATAGATTATCATTTTTTCTTGCTACTGTTCCCCGGTCGATGTAAACCCTTCGTGATGCAGATATGATATAGCTGCAGCGAGGCTTATTACACTGAAACCTACACGTACCTAAAACATAATATCTATTGCTTTTTAATTTTGCTCTTACACCCTAATTGTGTTACGAGGGCTGCACTAAAAGTATCGGGAATAGAATATTTCCACTGTTCCTGTCATATTAGAATCTTTTTAATTGAAAAGTCCTTGGTTTTAAAAATCGAATACCATTTATTTATTTAAAAAAAGATTCTCGGTCTTGCCACAAGGTTTTATCAAACTTGTTTAGTCGTTGAGAAAATGGAATTGACTCGAGAAAATTCAAGAGCGATGATTTATTATGACTTTCGAAGTGGTTTAACACAAAAACAGTGTGTTGACCGGATGATTTCTGCATTTGGTGATGAAGCCCCATCCAAAACCACAAGTTATCGCTAGTTTGCTGAATTTAAACGTGGACGTGTCAAGCTCAGTGATGATCTCCGTCAAGGTCGTCCAAAAACTGCAGTCACCCAAGAAAACGTTGATGCTGTGCGTAAGCTGATTGAGGAAGATCGACATGTGACATACCGCGAAATTCAGGCAACTTTAGACATTGGCATGACTCAAATACAAATAATCTTGCATGAACAATTAGGTGTAAAAAAGTTGTTTTCCCGATGGATACCGCATTCGCTCTGTGAAGAGCAAAAAGCGGCTCGCGTTACTTGGTGCGTCAGAATCTCGAAAGATTCCACGCAGGATCCTCAAATGCTGTATACAACATCGTATTAGGTGACGAATCCTGGATATACGCGTACGAACCAGAAACAAAAAACCAGTCACGAGTTTGGGTTTTTGAAAATGAGTTAAAGCCAACAAAAATTGTTCGTTCACGGAGTGTTGCAAAAAAAATGGTGCCCACGTTTGTCTCCAAAACCGGCCATGTTACGACTATTCCTCTTGAGGGGCAAAGAACGGTTAATGCAGAATGGTATGCTAGCATTTGTTTGCCACAGGTCGTTTCTGAACTCCGTAAAGAGAACTGCAAACGCCGCATCATCCTCCATCACGGCAATGAATTATTAGACCATCCGCCGTACAGCCCCGACCTAAGCCCTAATGATTTCTATACTTTCCCTAAAATAAAGAATAAATTGCGTGGACAGAGATTTTCATCACATGAAAAAGCTGTGGACGCCTATAAAACGGCCATTTTGGAGACCCCAACTTCCGAATGGAATGGTTGCTTCAATGATTGGTTCCATCGTATGGAAAAATGTGTCAAATTTCGCGGAGAATACTTCGAAAAGCAATAAATACATTTTTAAATAGTAATGTTGTGTCACTTCCTTGATTCCCGAAATTTTCAATGCCGCCCTCGTACATGTTAATTTTTACTACAGATTTGATACATGTATACTCTCATTCATAATTAGTAGGATCAACCGAATCGAAGGCTTATACTGTACCTATTGCTTATGTTGTACTACTCCAAAACAAAAGCAAATGAAATATTATAAAAATATGTCACATTTTTTAAAATATTTACGTTTCTTAAATTACTTAGCGAGATAAAAATATAATTTTATTAAGGGTGACACCTATCTAAATACGCTTGGAAAATTACCAAAATACTTTTCTTTACCTAAATACAAAATTTTATCCAAAATGGTCATTTCCAAGAAACCAATTACATTATATTAAACCATTATATGTAAACATTATACTAGAATAGCTCGCTTAAGGTTTAGAATATTATAACGTATGTACTTACAGTTAGACTGGCTGCAACAAATGTTACTAAAACTAGAATTTTGTACATGACGTCTGTTTTAAATGTCGCACCGACATCTACTGCATCGGTCCACTCCCAAGGCCACTCAGATGAGAGTTGTTGCACGGTAATGACCTCTGCCTCTAACACTAGCCACACGAGTATGTGAGTTGGTATCGAATTTCGAGTGAGACTGTAAATATTTACATACGGTAGATATTATTAGTCTTCTAAAATTAATGGTCTCTTCTGCTGTTTTTTGCAGAACTAAACTTACAATCTTTTTTTTAATTGAATTTAAAAACTTTTAGTAAGTTTAAACGAGAACGTCGTTGAACCATCTGAATATTCCATTTGACCTTCACCTTGGTGCTGCCAAATACCACTTAGCGGCGATAATACTCCCGATTTCTCATCTTCGCCTTGATTTATCGACATTTTGACGCGTTGTGTTGTAAAACATAGATACTCTTTCAAGTATAAAGACGTAAAAATTAATAACTTAAAATCTGAATGAGAAGAAATAAAATAGTCAGAAATAAAATATTCCGTATAAGTATTGTATTAGTTTAGAGAACACCTTCCGCTCTCCTCTCCCCCAATAGTTGTGAGCAATATCATAGCTACAACTAAATTCCTTCACTAGGAAACTCCTTAGACTAACACAGATGTATCCGACTCTTAAAATACTCTTAAAATTTTCATTTTTTACCAATTAAGAAAAAAATAGTCAACAGTGTACTTTAACGGGCCGATGAATAAATAAAAGGAAAAAAATCTATTATTTACTTTAAATGTATTGCGCGTATGTTATCAATAATATTTAATATAATTTATGTGTTTTGTATTTTCAAATCGCTTCAATAAATTTGCGAAGGAATCTCATGATAGGGCCACCGAAGAAACCGGTATAAGAAATCTATTCTAGAATAATAAATAGGTTGTTCGAATCTATGGTTCGAATACAAGATTTAAAAGCTTCTTGAATATTACAACACGAGATAAAATATAATAGAGAGCGAATTGCGCTTAACGCTGCTGTGTTACGAAATGTTGTATGCGAACCCACCGGGACGGATCGGCTTTCGCTACAGGCATATACTGTTGTCGAACTAGTTTTAGTGTATGCACTATTGTATATAGTGCTATGGTTGCTCAGGCATGCGTTAGAGCAAGACGCAAGATGAACAGGAAAGCACACTGGTACAAGGACGTATATGTGTGCTGAATTTTAGATAATCACGACGAACGCTTCAAATGAAAGCTTGTGATAAGCAAATGGAGCAAGTAGTTATTTTGTTAATTTTTCCATAAAACAAAATCCGTCTAATTACAAAAAATCGTTTATTTATAGTCTACACCGGAGACTATGGTTAGGAAATCGTCCTCTAATTAAAGAAATCCCTAAGCCGCGACGCCACATGCACCTAATTTGTTATTTGCAGTCAAATTCCTACATTATTATACTTTAGTTCGCATATATCTGTGAAACTTTACGTGGTAGAGCCATGCTGCAGTAATATTAGTAATATAGTTGTACCACGAATGGGTCGGCTCGACCGGGGTAGGACCACGCTTTCAAAGAATACCAGCGTAAAATAGCAGCTTAACGCTGCTGTGTTTCGTATGACTGGTGTAGAGAACCGGAGACCCTTTTTGACTGGAAATGAGGTATTTCATCTTAGTCCTCATGGGTAACAATGCGTCTGTATTTTGATTTTTAATTGAGAATAAATGTAGATGTCTACGGATTAGTAAGCTGAAGTGGCAGTGGGTTGGCCATATAGCTCGAAGAATCGACAACCGATGGGGAAGAAAGGTTCTCGATTGGCAGCCTCGTACCGGTAGGCGAAGTGTAGGGTGACCCCCCACTAGATGGAGTGACGACCTGGTAAGACATGCAGGAAGTCGATGGATGCAGGTGGCTCAGGACCGGGCTTTGTGGCATTCCTTGGGGGAGGCCTATGTTCAGCAGTGGACTTATGAAAGGCTGCAATGAGTAATGAGTAGATGTCTATGAGCCAAAACATTCAGTTTCCATCAGGTGAACTGTGTGCTCGTTTGTCACCCCTATTGTATAAAAATAACTATTTAGACTACATTCTAGTTGTTACTCTCTTGAAGTCAAGAAGTTAAATCTTCATTCATCAAGATTTTAAAATCATCTCAGAATGAAAGGAGCCTTATCCTGGATTTGTTTTACTTTTTTTGTTTCCAGAAATCAGCAGAGCTACGCTTCTCAAAAAATTCCGCCTCTCCCTGGGCACGGCTCGATTGGCAACCCGTAAGTCGTCGACGGTGCCCGCCGCGTTCTCAATTTGCCGGCACTGCTCCTCCAAGAACCGCAGCAGATCACTGAAGGGCGGAATATAGGAGGTGCCGTCCCCGCTGTACCTCTCCTCAAAATATATCCGAAGGTCGAGAGGCAAGCGGGACAGCATGATGTGGAGCAACAAGAAGGACCATTCGTCCACCGGTAAATCCAGCCGCCTCAACGAATTACAGGCCACCACGACTGGATTTACGATGTCAGGACGTAGTTTGACCCGGTCCCTAAGCAGCGGGAGGTTTAGAAGCTGCCTAACGTATCCTTCCGTGATTCGCCGGACTTTGGCGTATCTTCCAGCGAGGAGGTCCCGGACAATCTGGTAGGCGTTGTCCGACAATCTGAAATGGCCGACGACGCCCAGGGCCTCCTCCTCCAGTGAGGCCAGGAGGTACGCCATCTTCTGGCTTGGTGTCAAGTCCCTCCGGGCGTCCACCAGGCTATCAAAAAGGCCAACAAAGGTCATCCAGTCGGAGAGGACACCGGAGAACCTTGGCAGGTCCAGAGTTGGGAGTCGTCCCAACAGATCCGGCTGAGTGGGCTGCTTCAGAGGGGACTCAAGCAGGCCACTTGGTCGAGCTTCACGTGCTTCATTATCATACTTGGCCCCCGCGTCGATCAAGTCGTCCGTGAGCGAAAAGAATTGCTCGTAGTCCGCGAGGCAGGAGTTTAGGACTCCATGTTCCGCATACGCGGCCACAAGCTCTGTGTCTCTGTGGCCACAGCCTCCTCCACTACGGCCCTTCGGGCCTCGACCTACTCGAGCCGCTTCCCTAAACTATGGACCCGATCGGGTCGCCCTATCAAGGTATGGGCGTTCGCGGCCCAGCGCAGCTCCGCCTGCAGGCGAAGCGCTGGTAGCTTGTGCGATGGCATCACTATTAAATACAAATTACTATTAAATTAAATTAAATATAAATTACACTACACGGCAAGTACACACTACAGTCGGTCAGCCAAGATGCCTCGCCCATTACTCAAACACAAAATAGGCTTCGTTGTCACGTAATACGCTCAAAACAGACAACGTAATTCGAGGCGGTCTTAACCCGACCCAAATATTCGATAGTAAATTCCGTCTGATCGACACTGCGGCCGCGCCCAACTAACTGAAAACTATTACAACAAGAATTATATAAGACAGGTCTCGTTATCACGCAAAACGCACGAGATTAGACAACGCTATTCAGAGACGGCTCCGAGCGCAAACTTTAGACCGTCTACTTGACACCGGCCGTGCCCAACTAACCTCACCCACGCGTCAGGCGACCGCGCGCTCGGCCGGCTCGGTTAATTATTTGGCCTAAACAGGGTATATACCCTATTAGGTTTATGTACGTAGTAGAGCCGTGCTGCAGCGATATTACTGGTATAGTTGTAACACGTATGGGTCGGCTCGAAAGGGGAGGGACCACGCTTTCAGAGAATACCAGTGTAAAATAGCAGCTTAACGCTGCTGTGTTTCGTATGGTGAGTGTAGAGAACCGGTGACCCCTTTTTACTGGAAGCGAGGCATTCCATCTTAGTCCTCACGGGTGACAACGCATCTGCATTTTGATTCGTAATCGAAGATAGATGTAGATGTCTATGGGCCACAGGAACCACTCACCATCAGGTGGTCTATGTGCTCGTTTGTCACCCTTATCCTATAAAAAAAGGGTAAATGTAAATATAAAAGTTCAATTTAAAAAATAATCGCAAGTTCTAGAAACTGTAAATTATACAATTTGGATAAAGTAACAAAACAACAAAAAATTACGCATACGACATTTGTGTAGACCACACTTTGAGGTGGGGCAAATTTCTATAGAGATTCTGGCCTTGTCTTTTGTATTGAAAATATCAAGCGGAATTTATTATCTAATTTTTTTTCTTTAATTATTTCAATTAGATGTAATTATGTTTTGATTTCATTTGTTTAGAAGTTGTATTAAACGGTTAATGTTGTATTATATCCAGCTGAATTTATTAGTCAATTAATTATTCCCTCTGTTGCTACTAGCTACAGCTCATTGTCAACTATTAAGACAATTTACATTAATAAAAATGCCAGACACATTTAATATACGACGTGAATAAAAATAGAAACCTTCCTAATTCTCTGTCGTTTGTCGGGGTTTTTGCGTATAGTTATTTATCACTAAATTTTAATATCTTAATATAAATTTATCGAGAAAAAAAAACACTTCAACAAATATTTAAAATTTTGTTTAGATTTTAGAATTATAATTTACAAGATACGTATATCTACTTATTCATTTCTTAAATCATCCATTTATTAAAGCTATCGTGAATTTGAAACTAAAAATTTATGGCGGGTTCATGTTTGAAATGATATTTTAATAATACTAAACCCGCCACCTTTGAATTGGTTCCTACCTTGTGGTGGCGGGCAGGCTAAGGCTGAGATCTATAGATCGTACTTTGACTTTGCTCAGACTTAACTTACGAAAAACTTAGCTGAGTATATGCTTAGCATAATCATTGATTCTGAATTTATAGTTGTATCAGGCTAAGATTTAGCTAAGCTTATGCTTAGGCCCAGACAGTTCAAATATTAATGGATGCTTCATTCCACGCATTATGTTTTTGACTTTACTTTATAAAATTAAAATATAATATACATATTTAAAATCGAAATTACTAATATACAATTGATGTATATATGTAGTATATATATATATATATATATATATATATATATATATATATATATATATAATATATATTCAAGTAGGTTATTAGTCAGAAAAAAATA